TATTTGTGTGTCATTTCCATCCTTGATTATATGACTTGCCTTTTTAACTACTGTTGTTAAAAGACAGCTTTATGTTGATCCATTATGAAATAGTATTACAGTACAAAGTTCGAGATCATCCGGAATGTTCTAAAATCTGAACCTCAAAACAACCAACAACCTTTAAAAAAAAATACAAGTTTTAATTATTTGTTTAGATTACACATGCACATTTGATTGTTCTCTCTGTAGATAAAATGTGTAGAGTCCCGATTTTTAATTTCCCTTCGGCACTAAAACACTAAATAAGTACTTCCTTGTTGAAGAAACAATAATTTAGCATAAATTTATGTGATCAATAATTTGGCGCCGTAGCTGCATAATCTGCTTGGCATGCATCTCAAACTGAAACATTCTAAATAGAAGCATTGTTAATTTTATGCCTGATAATATTTTATATCCCTGATGCCCAACCTGGCGAATCATTATTTATTATATTTTGCATTCATCACTGCATGCTTATCAACAAATGACCACTTGAGTACTTATGCAGCGATGCCCAAACAATTCTTTTTTTTTTTTATTAGTACAAAGAGTAAGGTAACCTTTTATGCTGCCATTCATACTCTGGGCAGTGATTCCAGATTTAAGTTAAATGCACTAAGAAATTTTGAGGAGGAAAAATTTAACAAAAATTTCTTACCATACGCTAAAGATAGATTTTGTTCATGATACTCATAGGCCAAAATATTACATTTAGTGCTAATGAATTAAGAATAACTGATTTGTTTTTCCCATAAACTCATAACCGTCGCCAAAGCTTGTATGACCGCACCGGGCAGCAGAATTTAGGGAAGACAAGATTTTGGGAATTTATAGAAGTACTGAGGAACAAAAATGAAAGAATGAAAACATTTTTAGAATTTAGGGAAAGCACTGGGATCCAAAAATTTAGAACTTAGAGAGGCGCTTGGTAGCAGAATTTAGGACCCACAGAGACTGCATCAGGCACTATCAGTGCCGGCACTCAGTAAGTATATGTGGGAATTGATTTATTCAGAATTCAGATATCCCTTAAGCATGTGCAAGAAATAGAAGTAAGTATAATAAATAACTAATACAATCAAGCATAATTGTCTCAGTGTGCGATAGAAGCAAGACTAAATTTAGTGGAACAACTTGTCTTTCATTGTCAATCTCATGATACATAGCCAATAATGTCTAGCGGACGTTATTAAGCTAGCCTAAAATTATGCTTTACTGATTCCAAGGAATTTTAGCCAATACAGTAGGCTGCGCTGTTCCTTAACTTTATGATTTGATCCAGTTTAACTATTTTTTACAGGCTGTTTTTTATAGCAATTTGATAAAAGTTAAAGTTTCAACTTTCGACCATGTCAAAAAGAGTTTCTAATTTGGAGTGGCTACAGGATCTACAAAGCAAAAGCATGTTTTGATGTTCATTAAACAAAATGTGGAATTGCTGCCAAAAAAAAAAATGGGTAAAGGTATATCCGTCTCAAAATTATACGAGGAGTATGGATTGGAAAGTCAAATGTATATGACATAAGACAACAGAAAAAGGAACATTTTGAATTTTTGGTGGATTTTGACACTCTGCTTGGAATGAATAACAGTAAAATTATTAGTTATGCTAAAATTGAAAATCACAACAAAGTGATTATTGAATGGATCAGACAGTGTCACAGCGAGGCTGTACTTTTAACCGGTCAAATGCTAGTAGCTCAAACTAAAATATTTCACTAAGAAATGAACTTAAAAAAACTGAGTGCACATATTCAACAGGTTGGTTAACCAAATTAAAAAATCATCATGATATAAGGAAATTAAGAATTTCAGGGAAAAACCTTCAGCTGATACATTTGCAGATGAACTCATTAATAGTTAAAAGTTATCTCCAGAATAAATTTATAACGCTGATAAAACGTCTTTTCTGGCAATATGTACTGCAGAATACCTTGGCAGCCTCTACAGAAAAGGCTGCATTTCATGTCAAAGATTCCAAAGCTAGACTAGCAGTTTTTGCATGCACAAATGTGGCAGGAATGTACAAGTGTAAACTTTTTGTAATCGGGAAAAATACACAACCTCGAGCATTTAAAGCAGTAACAATTTTTAGTCTCCAGATACTTTAGAAAATGCTTAGTATAATTTATGACCAGGTAGCATATTTCATGATGAGGTTGATGAATATGATAGTCGTGAATGTGAAGGTTTTCAGATATTGCAAACCAAAGGTTAAATTTTCCAATTAATAGAATTTTTAAAGAAATGTGGAGAAGCAGTAATAAATGACGATGATATACCAGAAGTTTTTCATTGCAATTACATTCCCCCAATTATCAGTCAATTAACGGAGGGCAAAATGTGTAGCAGGGTTCTAGATCTAGAAAATACCAATAGTGAAGTAAGTGACAGACAGGTTATTGGAAACGAAAAATTTCAATTGACAAGTTAGTCGGAATTCTCGGTGCAGCAATTACAGGACTTGAACAATGGAATTTTGTAACTGAATAAGAAATTTTTTATGTCTACAGAATTAAAGAGAAAATATTAGCAAAAAAAGTAACTTAAACAACTTACATTGAAAGAAATGTTTAATAATGTAACCAATAAATATTAAGCCTTTTGTGTGTGTGTGTGTGTGTGTGTAAATTTTGTTACTCTTTAGATCATAAATGCTTCATTAATTCATAAATCATGATTTCATATTTTTAATTTTATAATTTCTACATGCCATCTTGTAAGCATTTAACTGATGATCTAACATCCAGAAAAATCCCAAATCAGACTGTGTACTGTACTTCTAACGTTGGGAAAAGAAAAATTTGGATTTTGTGACAGTTATGCAGAATGCAGCATCACTCTAAGTTGCTTTACTCTTATTTTCAACTTTTGATGAAATGAAATAGTAAGCTTTCTCTTTTAATATGTGAAATCATACAGGTTTATAGACCTGAAATTCTGCAAGTTTTGATTATTGAGCTAATAGAAGTTGCCGGCATGCAGAGTCATCCACTGTCTTTAGCGGAATGAGAAAACACTGAAAAAACTTGTATTCATGAACAATACAGAAATTATTTTTATATTGGCCATATATTCTGATCACCCCTACAGTATGAGACAGAGCTGTATAATCTGTGACAGGAAACCTTATTTAACTATTGTTGGGGATACTCAGGCATGATTCTGTTTGGTTGCACCTATATATGCTGTAAAAAGCTGTTGTTAAGCCAAATAGTGATGGCTCAAAGTCTAAAAACTAATATCTCCGAAGTGTCCCTACTCATTTAGTGCTCGTGAGCTGCCATTGCGAGTACCTATAAAAAGTGGAAGAAGAATGAAGAAACTAGAAGTATATTCCAAGACCTTGGATGTTCCTTCCTAATCAGTGAGTGCAAGTGATGAAAACTGTCTACTGAAGGCAAATAGGTGTCTGAGATAACTCATCTTATAGCTAATTATCTACCTACATAGTTCATCAGACTTTGTTAAATATGAGTCCCCTCAGCTGACATCTCCTTCCATTTGCTTGTTAATCAAGTGATATAATTCATGTTTACAATTTTAGGAGGTCCATAAACATTACAATTGCATCATGCAACAATGAAAAAGAGTTATCTGATGGGATGAATCGGTATTTTTTGTACTTAGATAATCATGAACGGCTGATCGACACATTTAGTGCAGAGCTTGAACAAGCTAGTGATAGAAGTATTGCAATGCTACATTCTTTAACATAAAAAGTGACACACCAAGAAGTTGTTATCGGAATGGGACATGATGTACACCAACTCAAAAAAAGGGGTGGGGACAAGTATATTTCTCTCATTCTGCTCAGCCAGTTGAAAAAATTCAAGTTGTGTTTTTCATATCTCGAAAGTGTAACTTAGAATATATATTAGATTTAGATATAATATTGTTATAATGTACTTATTTTGACACAAAATTGTACTTTTTCTGAAATGACATGCCGATTGTTTTCCATATTTCAATTCTACATCTCAAATTATGCCAATGTGCTTACTACTCGCAACTACAAACATTACTACTGGGGAAAATGTTCAGAAAAGAATTTGCATAAATTTTTGCCCAGAAGTTGGTAATGTGCCCTCAGAGCCTTTGACAAAGTTGCAGAAAGTATATAGAGAGGACTATGTATGAGCTGCATATGAGTCTACAGGTGATTCAGACATTTCCTAAATGGGAAAAAAAAAAAGTGTTAAGTGATGAATATTCTGGGCAAGTGCTTAACCAGCCAAGCTGAGAAATACATGAGATATGCAGTCTATTGTGAAAGAAAATGATTAAATCGCGATCTTCCAGATAGCTGAAGGCCTCAGTGTTAGTTATATAGCTGAATTCAGTGCATTTTATAGAAGATTTGGAAAATGAGATGCATGTTTGTACCAAAACTGTTTTCAGATTACCAGGAAAAAGAAAAAAAAAAAACTTTCAGCTGTAAAAGGTCTTGCAGAGAACAGCAAAAACATTTTGAAATTGGGTATAGCAGTTAAGTGTCATAACTCTGTGGCTCTCCAAGACTCAACAAAATATAAGTGAATTGAAGCAGTGTGAAGACTGTTCATCTCTGTTGCATTCCAGCTGCTCAGAGAGTAACCAAGGAGTACTATAGTGAAGTACTGCTTTGTTTAAGTGATGGTATTTGCCGAGAAAGGCTAAATTGAATGCATCTGTTTTTTATACCATGTAATTTGTGTATGCATGGTAATTTTTTTTTCATGGTTGTCACTAATGCAGAAGTACCGAGGGACAGCTAAATTTGTTTTAAGTTCATAGCTTTTATTTACTCTTTGTGTGCAATTGTTGATTTCTCTTAATGTTGGTAATTATAATTTCATGAAAGTATTTATTGTAAGTTTCCTTTATGCATGTGTGTATCATATTTTATTTTGTATCAAATTTGAAGAGAAACATGTGAAAATAAATAAGGCTACTGCTGCTGTTTTGTCTAATTTTAAATATATTTTGTGTTTTAGAAGCTGATTGCATATGGGCATCTTACTGGTAAGATATATGATCCTGCAGATCCTTCAAAACTCTTGATTGATCGCATAGTTGAAACTATTTGTTCATGTTTTCATGGACCAAATACTAACGATGGTGTTCAGTTGCAAATTATTAAAGTAAGTTCTTTTTTCTATATATAAACAAAAAATATATAATTATTTTCTATTATATGTGTTTTTTTTTATTTACACAGATAATACTTGGCCATTTCATTTTTATAAAATTTTCAAAATAATATTTGTGAAAAATGATTGGAATTCATTTTTTTCTGTGTAGGCCCTCTTGACATTAGTAACATCAAATGCATGTGAAGTACATGAGGGAAGTGTTTTGCTTTCAGTTAGAACTTGTTATAACATATACCTGGCTAGCAGAAATCTTATAAATCAAACTACTGCAAGAGCTACTCTTACGCAGATGCTCAATGTAATTTTTTCTCGAATGGAAAGTGAAGCTGTGAGTATTAAGTAATTATATGTCTTTTGATTTTCAGTAACATTCTTGACTGTCATATACATATATTCCCTGGATGCTGATTTTATCATACATTTACAGTTATTAATACAACACTGCAATCTACAATGCATTGGATGAATTGTAGTTAAGCCTGCATAAATTTTTATTTACTCAAATTTCTGTTAAATAATTGTAATAGTTTAGGTACCAATTAATCTGTATTATTAATTTTCTGAAGCCATAATAACATTTTAAGGATTTTACTGTGTTATCTTTTTATTCATTTAATGTTCTTTATTTCACTAACTTTGAATAAGCTGCTGATCAATAAAAGTGCTGTATCAAGTAGATGCATCTGACAGACCTGAAATGTGCATATCATGGGCACCAGTAACATCATTTAGAAGCAGTATAATACAGAACAGATGAGAATTGAGAGCAAGTTTTTCATAATGAAAATCATGTTTGCTTATCGTTCTTTGTAAAGAATATAAGCATGCCTCATTTAGGAGATTGAATTCAAATGAACGTGTGTCTGAGTTTGATTGTACACATTGTAGCTGTGAATTATCTTACTGTGGAATTGCTCCTGACACTGATGGAAATATAACTGTTATCATACAAACATGCATTCGATGTTTGTAATCATACAAGACTTTTTTATGCACATAGCCAATACAGGCTATACCACATACTCTATCTCAAAAATTAGGATGTGCCACATAATAACAAATATCTGCAACTTTTATGTGACTTTCCAAGGACTGTTTATTTTCTGTTTCATATACATTTTACAAAGTTACCATTATATTGCTTATCTTTAATAAGACAGCGTACATATCTGCAATTTCAGTTATGCATGGAATGATGCACATGAATTTTGTAGTAATGTAATATCTTTTCTTCATGTCATTGTGGAGATTGTTAAAAATCTTGCATTAGATATGCTACTTGAAATAGCTCTTGAAATTTTCATATGGGGGCCCAATGGATATAAATTTAACTCGCATCTAGGAATCATGCATCTGAACATTGCATGTCAGATATGTTATAGCTGTTTGTCCAAGGTTCTCAAGACTTCCAGTGATCTACCAGCAAGATCATGTGTCACTGTACATAACACAAGCCATCTGATATTTCCTTAATGTGTAATTTGTACATTGTCTGAGTGGTTAAGACTGTTGAATACGATAGTTTGATTCAGGTTGCACCTCGGGTGAAAGGGATGTCTGCTTGTTTGTTTTTCATGGTTTTCCCAGTAAAAGTGAGACAATTTCTGTTAGAAAGTATCCATCCCCTTTAGGCAGCTAGCCCTAGTGCTTCACCATCTTCAAATGACCTAACAGGTACCACTTCCACTTTGGCCAGTACAATCCTTGGATCTTTTTACTGATTGAACACATCTTATCCATGGCTGCACAAAAACTGGCATTCCAACAATGATGAGCAGATGAACCCCTGGGAGGGGGGGAACAAAACCCTTGTACACAATAATGTCCGAAGTTGCTATCCAAAGTCATTTCTATTCTGTGCTAAGCCTGCAATATCAGTTATTGCTATGCATGGTAAGTGCATGTGATAATGATCTCTGCATATTTTGTGTGGCTTAACCATCCTAAATATCCTTATATTAGAAAGTATTTTTAGAATAAGTTTGATTTTGTTATATTTTGCCTTTCATAGCATTACTATTTTAATGGGAAGCAATTTAGGTATATGTGATATGCCATTTTAAATTTATTACTGTTTGCATCAGGCTAATGGTGAAGATGAGGGTTCTAAGCATGCATTTCCAGCAAATTTAGATAAGGAGAAAATTGAAGAAACAGAGGAAGCCCAAGCGAATGAAAATATCAAATTAGAAGTTGCATCTGTTCTTCAAGACATTGTTGAACGAGTGGCAGCAGGTCATTTATTTGCTCAATATTATAAATTCTTGTGTTATATTTTAATATTTTACTTCTTTACTTATGAATGTTATATTTTATTTTTAGAAGTTACACATTCATCACACATTACAGAAAAAACAGGCAGCCTGACCTCAACTCCTTCATTAGAAACAGCAGCAGCTGGGGATGTTATTCCTGGTGTTTTACTTCCTAGAATACCATCTGAAGACAGTTTAGAATCTTATGAAAGCCACATGCACACAGAACCTGTTCAGCCAAGTTTTTCTCATATTTTGCAAAAGGATGCATTTTTAGTTTTTCGTTCCTTATGTAAACTAAGTATGAAGCCACTGCCAGAAGGACAACCTGATCCTAAGTATGGAATGTTTCTTGAATTTGGAATTTTAGTCTGTGTTTATTTCCTTTGTGCTGTTTTTAGAGCAAGTTATGCAGTAAAACATTTGTTCTTGCAACGAAGTTTCATTGCTTATTTATAGTTCATCTTACATTACTTTTCCTAACTTCTGTACTTAAAGTGAATTATATTTTCTGATCCATTTTATTTAAGCGTGATATTTTCTTTTCCTTCAGATAAATAAACTTTAATGAATGTGTTTCATTCGTTCGTGTTTAAAAATGTAAGTGCTTGCATATGTAATAAGAGTTATTTTTCCCTTCAGGTCACATGAGTTACGCTCAAAAGTATTGTCATTAGAGCTTCTGCTTTCAATTCTACAAAATGCTGGGCCTGTTTTCAAATCTACAGATATGTTCATTAATGCCATAAAGCAATATCTCTGCGTTGCATTGTCTAAAAATGGAGTCTCATCTATACCTGAAGTTTTTGAACTCTCATTATCTATATTTTTAGCCTTATTACAGAATTTCAAAAGACATCTTAAAATGCAGATTGAGGTATGTGATAATTCTAAATCTGTGTGGTGTTTAAATATTTGAATTTTTCCCCTCTGTTTTGGAAATAGTGATTAGTTGGCTTCCATGTTATACAGTGGATCTTAAATTATCTTAAGTTAGAGTAGGATGGATTTTAAATCCTGATAATTGGGTGTAATGAGCTTATATAAAATGTTAATAGCATAGAATTATAAAAATTTAGTACATTAATTCGTTGTATAAAATATTCTGTTTAGATTTACTTGGATCTTGATGTGTTATAACTTTATTCCAAAAAACGAATGAAAAGTCCTTATGCTAATATCAGTGCTGAATCAGATTTTTAGATTTTATATGTAATGTAATGATATTTTTAAATCAATAGATTAAATTAAATTCTAATCATATTGCTTAATAATGTGTTGGCGATTCCCTACCTAAATAGCATCCCTGTTCCTAAATTTTGGCAAAATCCTTCCTTTATTATAAATTATATTAATCTGTTGGTGCCCGCCAAATTGCCAAACTCATAAATCTGTCATATTACATAAAGCCCTTAAGAACACTCCTGATGAGAAGATAGCGTCACCTTGTGATTTCAGTTAATATCGCTAATTGGATGAGCACCATGATGCACACAATATAATAAAATAAATAGGGCTTCTATTAATCTCTAAATAGGGCTTCTCCTCAAGGTACAGGGGGAACGCTTTTGAATGGATGCTAAAATAAACATATCACTTTATTTTCCAAAATTTGTCTCATTCCTGTTGCCCCAGCTGCATAACACAAATAATGTATGAGATTCTACATTTCATATATATATATATATAGTGATGTATTATGCTCTAATTTTAAGGTCATAATCTTTTATTGCTTAAGAACACGATCACTTTCTTATTTTGGGTTAAATGTTAATACATGTTCACAAAGGATTGATTAGGAAATAAGCTTTCTCAACTATTTTTACCTGTGTGATATTTCAAATAGGAATGATATTTTTGGCTTTCCTCTTTCTTTTTCTTTGTTATTATTACTTAACTCACTTGTATGATAGTAAACAGCAAATCAAGTTTAAGAATTTTATTGCAGTTAAGAAGCAAGGTTGTGCATGGGCTGGCTTAGGGGTTGGGCATATAATAGGTGATATTACGAGTTTTTTCACCTTCATCATAGTCTTAAAGGAGAATCTCCTGCGAAATAGATCCAAAGAGACCCTTCTTTCTCAATCACCAACCTCTCAAAAGGGTTAGCAACTTGATAGTATATGAAATACACCCATGCTTCAAAACCACTATACGCTTACAAGTGTTCATACCTTCTCAGAAGTTCAAACTTGGGCCTAGTGCTATGCAGCCAGTTTCCTACCAAATGGGCAGCCTTTTTTACTAGGTATTTTCATAATTTCTGTATAACATTGAGCATCAAAAGTCTTTAGTGAATGACAGTTTTTAAGAGCAAGAGTAATAATTTAGATCCAGGTATTGTAGAATGCTGTCAATTCATTCTATATTTGTTAAGTTTATGATGTCCGTCTCTTCTTTCATATACACAATATCGGTCTTTCATATAAAGTTGACGAAGCAGAGTTTTTACACTGGAATTCATCTTTCACTGAGATAACAGAAAAGTGTACCAATAATTAATAACAGTATTTTGAAGGCTGAAGTAATTGCATGAGAATTGCCTTTTAGTCAATAATTAGTCATGTTAAGAAAACCATTTCTCTATAGAATGCTGGTCTTACTTTATTTTTTCACATTCTTCAGTTTGTGATATTTTCCAGTGTTGATTGAATTGATCCTTTCAATAAAATTTTGATATATTTTAGATCCATTTGGTTAAATATAAGCTTTTGTAATACTTTATCTCTAAATCTTGAAAGATAGCAGGATTCCCACTTGATTGAAAGTTGGGAAAATGACAATGCTAGGGGAAAATAAAATGTTTTTCAAAAAAGCTCGAAAAATTAAACATTTTCCAATACGTCAGAAATTTTTTTTAAAAAGTGTGCAGATTCATCCTTGCAAATAGTAAAATATTTATATTTTAAATACTGTATAATAAGCAAAAACTCCCATGTCCCTTGTAAAGTACAGTGAACTGGGATAGCATCAGAGATAGTGACTATCAATATGCTAAATGTGTTTAAGTTATTATTCACTGGTAGTTCAACCTGAGCTTGAATCCTGGCAAACAAACTTGCTGCGTGGAACTTTTTGTTGTTTTCCCCATGTGTAATGTTGATATGAGCCACTTTCCCATAAAAAATCCTCTATAAAGGCATCCCTTCCCTTAGACAGATAGCCCTTATGTACTTTGCCATATTCCTGTAGCTTAGTGTAGCCTAACTTGGAGAATAAGCTCATTTGATTATATAAATGAAATCAGTTACCAAAATCCTCAAAAATGCAAGTCTTGCATCATCCTTGAGTTTTCTGCTGATCTCGTCTAGGTTTCTATGTTGCTTTGTAAAGCAAGTGCTTTTGGTTTTCATTTGCATTGCTCTTGTATTTCAATAGGAGTCAACGTGAACAGGTTAATGATGGTACATTTTATTTACTTTAAAAACTGAGCACTTTATTTTTACCAGAAGGTTTAACAATTTTAATACATTCTGGATCACATAAAATTAAAATATGAACTATTGTGGATAAATTCTTTTTTTTTCTTTCTTATTTTTATATAAGTTTTGTATCATATTGATAATTTGTACTTTATCCATTGTTTTGCAGTAAAGAAACTTTACTTTTTTAAGACTGAGTCTGTTAGCTCAAAGTGGGATTAATAATCCAGATAATCAGGAGTTGACTGTTGATAACAAATGAAGAGTTACTGTAATTTTTAATTTCCTTGTATGAAGTTTTTTGCAAGAAGTCATGTCTGAGACAATTTTAATGAATGCATAGGTCTCTTCTAAACCTGTTAGTGAGATTCTTTTCATACTTCTCTTTAGAAATGTAGCTATTCGATTGCCCATCCATATAAAAATGTAATTTCCTTTAAAAAGTTATTGCTGGCCATTAATTAAAACTGCTATGTCATGAAGGAGCCACTTAACAAACTTAAAATGTATAAGAAAGGTAAAATGTATTTGGATATGCACATGGTTAGCATTTCACGAAAATCACAGATGACAGCTTGAAATAGCATAAAAGGGCAAACTGAAATGCCATATTTCATTTTGAAAATCCTATTTACTTATTACTTTTGTGCTGGAAGTCATGTTGTATGTTAAAGAGAGAGCTCATATTAGCATCAAAGATTAAGGTTCATTGAGATCCTGTGCAGGATCTCGACAGGCCTTAACCTCTGATGTCCAAGATGTGACATCTTGTCTACAGATGGAATTATTGTGGGTCAGATAATTGGTTGCGTTGTACACCATCAAACATCCGTGTTTATGGTGTGGTAACATCTGCAATGCCGTGGACTGTCATTAAGGTGACTGTTTCAGCTTTGCTTGGTGCTGCAACACAGGAATGCACTTCAAATGGTGTGTTCACTGATGCACATGAATACATGAATGGTGTGATGTCTTCTGGTGAGTCCTGTTTTTGCTTTATGAAGCCTAAATCCATGAAATTTCCGAAGTATCAACGCATTGTTTAATAATGCTCTATAGAGTATTTAAACGGCTTATGCTTTATAGATATTTTTATACTATACTTTAATTCCTATTCTTGTTTAAATGCATTTTTACACATTTTATTTTCATTACTCACCATTTTATGACTTTTAACATTATACATTGAAAACTTAAATATATTACTTAAAATTCTCTTTTCGTATGAAAAATTTGAAAAACAGGGATCTACACACACAGTCCTACGTTACATTCCTTGCAATCGTAATAACTCATTGCCGTTTGGAGGATTTTTCGGGAATGTGAACAAACGAGGCATCGTCGTCTCATTTTCTTATCAGTCTCTTCTGAACAAAGTTTTGGAAAATGTCTTTCAGTTAATCTTTTAGAATCAATATCAGCATTTCAGAATCAATATCTGAATATTTTGCATCATTTCTGCTATTTCATGCTCTTGTTAAACATTTTCGACGTTTCGACATTGCAACGGTAAAAACAGAAAGAATTCACGTCTAACAAGATCTAATTATTTTCTAAAAAAAACTGAACTGCAACCGAAATAACCCAACGCTTTAGCGAAAATAAAACTTCTCTACTTACAATAAACAACTACCACGTGCGAATAAAGCGCGATTTAAAGAGACGTCATAAATCACACCATTCGGAAACATTTATTTCCTCTTTTGTTTATATAATCAGAAACACGTATATGTGAGTCATGCTTCTCTCATTTTGAGTAGAAGGTCTAATGTACATGTATCTGAAACCATATGGACATACAGTGCCATCTTGTGGCAGAAATTATAGTTTTTAAAACGTTCCAGGACACTGGCACAAATTCGTGACAGTGGGCGCTGAGCGGAAAAATGCTCTGGCACGCCTGTATGTCGGCCGGGAAGTGAATGTGTTCGTTGCTGGCACGTAGATGTGACAGCCGGCGAGAAGGGGTTAAACATAAGAAATTATTGAATAATCAATAAGTTCAAAAAGTTGTCATCAAATGTTGGAAAAAGTCAATAGTTCAATCAATAGTTTTCAGGTTGGTTCACAACTTCTAAAGGATTGTAGGGGCAACTTCTTAAGGATTGTATGAGTTGTACGAGTCTCTTAATTTGTCCTCTGTATAACTCTACTACCACACCAAGTTTCCATGAGAGTTTGGCCTTTGTAAACCCTTCCAAAAGAATGACATCTCCAACTTTTAATTCTATGCTTTGGTTAGGAGTATCCAAATGGTGAGCCGTTTGCTATTCAAGTAGATTCCTTCCATCTTTTTCAGAGACATTCTAAAAGTGTAGTTTGGTACACTTGTCTTTTCATCAGGTAACTTCTATTCGAATTCTTGTCAATTGTCTCGATAAAATGAAATGGATAATTATGATTTTTTTCGACCAAAGTTGAGAAAGTGGGCTGGTGCGAGAGGCTCTGTTTCTTCCAAGTCATTGTAAGCATAAATTAAATATCTTTGATTTATGACATATTCAACTTCTGTCAAAATAGTAGTCATATCTTCAAAATTTAATAGGGCTTTTTCAAGTATTTTTCTTAAACAGTCCTTCACAGACATCACTAAACATTTGTAAAAACATCCCTACCATGCAGCACATTCTGCAATAAATTTCCAGCTTATCTTCTTACACGCAATAAAATTTTGAAATTTGGAATCCTTCAGTATTTTTGAAAAATGCTCGAATTGTCAGTTTAGCTTTTGAAAGGTTTTGGCATTGTCCGAGTAAATTGTGTCACAAAGTCCTCATCTTGATATGAATCGTCTAAAAGCCATCAAAAAAGTTTCTGTTGACATACTGAGGACTAGCTGTAAATGAAGGGCTCTGGTAACGGCACAGATGAAAAGAAGTATGTATGATTTCTCAGTTCCGATTGCTGATCTAATCCAAATAGGGCCCACTAGGCCAGAAACAAGAAATGGTGGAGTCTCAACTATTCTGTCTTTTGCCTGTTGTGCGGTCTCTGTTGAGCAGATTTTGCTGTATGTACAAATAAGACAGTTTCTAAGTATCTTCTTCACAATCTGTCGGCCTTTCGGTATACAGTATTCTTTTCGAAGGCTGGTCAAAGTGACTGTAACTCCACTGTGCATCAACTTGTTACGTTTGCAACTCTTTCAATAATCAGTTCTGTAAATTTTGAATTTCAAGGGAAGAGAATAGGACGTATTTCTTCGGTGCTAAAATCGGAGAATTGTAATTTTCCTCCAAGCTGTAACGTTCTTTTATCGTTTAAAAACGGGGAAATAAATATATGGATCACTTCTTAGACATTCTTTCTAATGGTGATTCAGTTTCTAATGGTGAAATTTCTAAATTATATGCTACTATTTGAATTCTGTGTGTCCAGAATTCTTCTGCGTCTTTAAGCTCTTCAGCTGTAAGAACATCTGTCAAGTTTGCAAGTTTCCTAGTTTTCAAAGTGAAGCGTTTGATCCAAGCTGTTATTCTTAATATTTCATAAGATTACTGTACTTGGAAATATCAAATAATTCATCCTTCTCCTGTGCGAAGCATTTATACTTTTAGGCACAAGCCAATTTCTTTCTATATTATAAATTTTCTTCAATTTCTTCTAATGCATTTACATTTATACTACTATCATCTTTACTCAATTCAGTTTCAATTTTCTCTAATATCTTGGACACTGCAGTCCTCAATGCATTTCGTTTCGATTTCAGTTTAGCAATAAGATCTTTCATTATACCAAAAATGGAAAATAGAGGCTACCTTGGCAGTCTTCGCACACTTCAAAGTGCTAATCTGAAATTAAAAAACACAAATTTTTAAATTGGCCAAAGGTTCATGGCCAGCATGCACCATGTCATGAAAGGGGTTTTATTCTAAGTTGAAACTTCTACCGTATCTAAATCTATGTTTCTGTATGAAGAACATCAATCTATATCTATGATTGACTCAAAGCAAGGTTGAGTTAAATATTTATTTGCTTTATATACAGTTAATCAGCGTATGGAAAATTTTAAAAAAAAATCAAAGGCTTAATGCGTCATTCCCATCTAGCATCTACCATCTAACTAACTTTTACTTCAGGTGAGGGCACTGCTATCTCCATATGACATCATATTTCTCTACAAATACAAAAGCCTAATTGAAACGTAAATTATAACAAATGTATGGAGGGGTAGATTACGTGGACCAATATCTATCGTATTAATCCATTTTCATAAAAACAAAAACATGAACTTAATGAGTTGTAATTTTTTTATCACTGTTCACTTTTCAGCTCATTTAAAGCTTGCACAGTTCGAACAAAGTGGCAATTTCATGGATAGAAAGAAGATTGTGAACCTAATTGTTCAGAACAAGATGACGATCTACCTATTTCCAACACACAAGGAGAATACTCAGATCTCTACCATCCCGGAAGACTTAAACTTTAGAAAGCATAAACTTATGAATATACTGACTGGCAGTCAAAGTTTAAAACCCCTAAGACAATGCAGAGTTTGTGCATTAAAAAAAGTGAACATGTTTTGCATGTAAATTTTGCAATATTCCTCTACAGAAAGGCAAATATTAAACTAAAAGGCAGTTATTAAACCATTGCTAATATGAACTATGTCAATATAAGAAGTGGTTAATTTAAAAAATAGCAAGAGGATTTTGGTATATTATACAACTCTTGAACTGAAAGCCAATGTAGTACATAAAATAAATATAATTTAGCATTAATATCAGTCAAATAAAAGATTTTATCAAATCTAGTTATCCTATAACAAGAGGAAGTGGGTAATTTTATTTGAGCATATGAAAAGCACAGATATTCCCATGCAACAGTCTCGACCAAAACAGAGCTGACCAGGTGGTCAGACATGCATATACTGTTGAACAGCTAAGCCGTCAGTAAAGTAGCAAAACTACATATTTTTTGGAATGCCTGACATCCATATATCCTGTACATATTTTTTCATTTGCTTCATAGTAATAAGTAATATAAATTAAATCTTTATAATGTACCTAGTTATTACATTGTATTTTGTGGGAAATATATGATACTAATCATTTATTCATACTTAATTTGTTAACAAGTTCTACTAAGTTTTATCAGAGGTATCACTAAATTTAATTATGGAAAAATCAGGGGAATTAAAGTTGAATTTCTGTTGGAATCTTGCTTAGGTTTTATTTGCTTGGTGTAAATTGATTAATTATTTTTCATATTGTCTAGTGCAAGAGGAAGGATAGATTGTTTCAGAAAGCATTTTCAAGTATTAAAACATTTTAAAAATAGCTTGTAAATATGCAAGGCAGTTATTCATTGTTGATATATATTGTACTGTATCTATATACAATAGTGTGTATGTATAAGCTGTATGGTGTTCATTCATGTTGTGAAATAATTTTTTTTTCTATAGTTTAGCCTCTTTCCCCATGTCTGAGTTTGGAGTAATGTACTCATTTCTTTTTTTGTTTTTTTGTTTTAGGTTTTTTTCAAGGAAATATTCTTAAATATTTTAGAAATATCTAGTAGTTCATTTGAGCACAAATGGATGGTTATTCAAGCTTTAACACGGATGTGTTCAGGTATTAAAAAAAAAATTTGTGCTGAATGAGAAGATATTTAGTGTTGTTGAAATGTTTCTGAAATCATTTATTACTTTTATTGCATTTAGTTATCATGGTTATGTGAAAAAAGTTTAAAAATTAATTAATTTGTTTCAAGTATCTGTGTTTCTGCAATAAAATTATCTGTATTATTTTTAATTATAATTAAATTATCTGTATTTCAACTATGGAAGTTTAAGGAATTGATGTAAGGAAGATTGTGTATATGTATAATAAGTGTGTATGTATAAGCTGTATAGTATTATTTCATTCATGTTGTGAAATAATTTTTTTGGTACTTACTAACTGGATGATAGGAATCTGTAAAATTAAAAAGTATAATGAATTTTATTTATATTCTATTTTTGATTTCTTGTGTTTTGTTAATATTTAGAATTAATTTAGCTGCTGTTGCTGTCTTAAATAAAGTGAAATTGGGAATATAAACATTAAACATGATTCGTTACAGAAATTGTTCTAATTGCTTTGGCCTATGAATAGTTTTCCTGGCATTTATATCTGCATAGCAATTTCAGTACTTAAATATTAGTGCAATTACTTTGATGCATGTGAGTGACTTTTTATGAAAGGAAAAAAAAATGACTTATAAATTGTCTGATAATGATGAATTATATACTGATGAGCAAAAACATTATGACCCTCCCTACATTTTCCCATGAACTCATCTGGTTGATGTGGAGGGCACATCATTAAGTGAGAATGGTATTTAACTGCTGCTGGAGAAGGTAAGGAATCATTCTTACTCTTATTTTTGCAGGTGATGGGAAAGGCTGCTGATCTAAGTAAACTTAATAGTGGGCATATTGTTGTGGCCCAAAGACTCAGAACAAGTATCTACAAAACTGAATGACTTTTAGTTTGGTCGCAATCTGGCATTAGTATTTGTGCAAAGTAGATAAATGACAGTGAATCCAGCAGTAGATGCCAGGGCATTGGATGTCCACGCATCATTAAAGAAAAAAGATATCAGAGGTTGTCCAGCTTGTTACAACAAAATCGGCCCCAGACAATTACAATGTAGGTTTGAATGCAAGTGTTTTGGAACATACATTTCAGCAGGCAATGTTGGATATAGGACTGTGCAGCATAAATCCCAGTCCTGTTCTGTTGACCAATCGTCATTATCAAACAATGGGCCTGGGAACATCAAAACTGGACCATGGGTAAGTAGAAGACAGTTGGCCTGGTCAAATGAATCACAAATTCTTATTCATCATGTCAATGGTCATGTCAGGGTATGTCCTCTTCCAGGCAAGCAGTTTCTTCCCCCACTGTACAGCAAATCACGTACAGGCTGGTGGTGGCAGTATTATGCTTTGAAGGATGTTTCGAAGAGCGGCTGTGGCACTCTTAGTTGTGGTAGAACAGACCATGAAAGCTGTAGATTATCTGAACATAATTGCGGAGCATTTGCTCCATTACATATCCGTCTTCCTAATTGGAAATGGAATCTTCAAGCAAGACAATGCCCTTGAGGCTCGAATTGTGGGAGTGGTTCGACGAGCATAAGAATGAATTCCAGTTAATGTGCAGGCCACCTAACTTGTGGATCTTAACCGGCTACAGCACATTTGGAATGTCATGGAGCAGCAGCTCAGAGCTGAAACACCACCATGTCAGAATTTTCTGCCTTAGTGTGACTGCTGCATAGACATTTCGTACAACCTGTCTCCAGTCATCGACCAAGAATTTGTAGCATCCATGCTAAGCCGAGTTGCAGCTGTTTTGCAGGCCAAAGGTCATGCAACACATTATTGAGTAGGTGGTCATAATGTTTTGGATGTTCAGTATACAAGGATTACTATATACATGTTTTTATGTTTTTATTAGGTGTTTATGATAACAATAAATCAGTAAACTTATATGCCCTATTGGAAATTTTGGGTCCATTGCTTTAAAAGTAGATTTAAAACAGTTGTTCCCTTTAGCAGTTTTATAGCAACTGTATTCCTGCCAAAGTTTTACTGCTGTTTCTTCCATTACTGGCAAATCCCACAAATGTAAGTTTTAAAATTGAATTTAAGATAAAAAGTATCGTAATTTTAGTCTATAAAAACTATTGGAATCTGTAATGCAACTAACAAAACAAGTAATAAAATGCCGATATTGCCTGTTAAAATTAAAAAATTGTTATGCCCAGGTTTGCAACAGTTTATGAAAAATTGGAAATTTTGGTGACTTTTACGAGGTTGTTGCACTAACATATAGGGACTTGAATTTCATCGTGATACTAATAAATATCTTAGTCAACTGAGATACATATTTTTTATTACCATTAAAATAGGTGTCAAGCATTGTAAACATTGCATTCCTAGAAGATATAGTGCTAAATTAAAAATTTTTATACGAGTTTAATATGTAATAAATAAGAATACAATAAGATGAGACCGAAATAAACGCATTTTACAATAATTCTATTTTCATAGAGACTTGAGTAACCATGCCCTTTTCTATAATTTTTACATATTACTTCAAATTTGAAATGATTAAACCCTAAACTGTTTTTTTTTAATAAAGTTCAAAGCTTACAATTCAAATTAACAATAACCCCCCTAGCGAATGTACTCTGACAAATTAGAAGCTAAATGTATCAATTATAATTAAGTTAGTTAGTATTCACATGTCAAGCTATATTATTCATAGCAATTCTATAAAATTAAACAGATATAAATGATTGTTGATCAATTTATTTGTTGCTTTTACCCATTAGTAGTTTTTAAATGAATATAGTAACTAAAGAATTTGTATAAAAATATTAGTGATTTGCATTGTTCATAGATGTACAGCACTTGTGTATCTATCTCTTTGTAATCATGTTGGCTTTGTAACCTGAGTTACAAACTACTTAATGTAATCTGTTGTCCAATTAAATAGTAAAAATGTTCAGTTACTTTTTTGTTAGAAATTAATTACTCACTAGTACTATATTAATGCAGTTTTAAAATCATTATGTTAGCGTGTTAATTTAGTACCATTTCAGCAGCTGACAGTATAACTATCATATAATAAATCATCTTAAATTTAATTCATTTTCAGTATTTTGGGAGAGAAAGTGCATTATATTGTATCAGTGCTAATTAGGGCAACATAAAGTTCAATTGTAGTATGTGATCTCCAAGATTCCTTACAAAAGTACTTCAGAATGAAGTATAGGGAAAAAAATTACTATTGCTTATGGGAAGAAGACAGTTTAATAAATTACTGTAGTTCTATTTAGATCTGTCGTGTTTATTAATGAAGATTTGTCATATGATGTGGCTTTTTAAACTATTGTTTGGTCTACTAAATGGCTAAAGTGAAAGTCATTTAAGATTGTTTCACCTGTATTTGATTTCCACATGCATAATTCTCTAATTTAGTGTATTAATTGAACAGTTTCCTCAAAGGATACTTCTAAAAGTGTAGTTTTTTTGTCATAAATTATATAAATTAACCACTTCTTCACCTGTTCTGATATTATGGCTTTCTTAAGATACTGTGTATATGAGTTTAAATTATGTGTGTTGCAGATGTCTTGAAAAATTCTTATCTTGCATAGTTATAGCACATGTGCACACAATGTACATAATTGTATTGCATTTTATTAAAATTTGTCATAAAAGTAATGTAAAATTTGATTTTCTGTAATGATTTTTGGCTATATTTTTTTTAGAGCCCGAAAACATCGTTGATATCTATGTCAATTATGACTGTGATTATACTGCAGCAAATATTTTCGAACGATTGGTGAATGATTTATCGAAGATTGCTCAAGTAAAAATCTTAATCCACTATTTTATAAATGTGATATTACATTGATTTGCAAAAGATATCCTAAACAATGCATAGAACCTTTATAAATAATTTTTTATTTTCTACTTAAATTTATTTTTAGGGTAGGCAGGCATTAGAGCTGGGGGCTACATCTGCTCAAGAGAAATCCATGCGTATTAAAGGACTTGAATGCTTAGTATATGTGCTGAAATCCATGGTGGAATGGAGTAAAGATCTATATGTGAATCCAATCCAGCAGGCAAATCTTGGTAGTATAATTTTTTTATTTATATTGCATGATTGTGATTCCGTATCCAGTTTAACCCTTTCTAGCATATTAACTTTTAAATTTGGAATTTCAAAAAAAAAAAAAAGGGTATGCAGTCTAATCAGGCCTAGTATGCAGGTAAAATTTTGTGAAGATAGCACTTATCGTTTTAATTCTGTGGGCACATTGATTGAATAGAACTTTGAAAAGGGTGCTGATACGAGCATTGCTGGGAAGTGCGTAAAGGGGTAAGAGATTTTGCCTACGATTAAAAAGCATTAGATTCTAAATACCGTTGCAGATTTAGCATTGCCCAGGGTGTGCCATGGGAAGACCTGCTACTCTACCCCCCTAAAAAAGCTCTTCTTGGTTAAATGATGATTAAATGTGTATGAATGGGAAAAAAAGTAACTTGGGTATATGATATTTACATTATTTACATTTCATATTTACACTTTCGTCTATTTTTTCATGGTGGTACTTTTCAAAGAAAGTAATACCACCTTTAAAAAAGCACAACTCAATATTTCATGTTTTGCACATGTACCGTGATCCGTATCGGATTCACTATCTGAAAGCAATTCGTGTAGCACTTTCAGTGATTCAGAAATGGTCAGCCATCTCCGATCCATTTAAAAAATAATTAAAATTCCAAAAAATAAAGTAATATTATATCTACAGTTAGAAATTATTAGCTATAAAATAAAATTAAATAAACGTTTACAACTCAAAACTATCAAACGTAACATTAACAAATATTTGAATGAAAGCAAAAGAGATAAAACAAACAGCTAACAGAAAAAATTACCGTTGACCTTCAGAAAATCAATTTCTTAGTTGATAACCAACCCCCCCCCCAAGGAAAAAAAAGAGAAAGAGAAAGAATGAAAAACAGGAAATAAAACACATATGTGGACTCACCTTTCTATTGTCAATGAGCTGACCTAAGAACTGCCGAGAACAAAAGATACAGTTGTCGTTCTAGTCCTATTCTCTCAGTAAGCCCACTCTGGACAAACCTGATGTTCGCCGTTCAATTTTTTATGCAAGATTTCAAGGTAAAAATTTAAAACTAATATAGAATAAAGAGATTAGCATACAGCCAAGAAAATAACAGAGAAATTTCTTTTGAAACAATTACTTTTATGAGTATCATGACTTTAATGCCATCTGAAATCATTCAACTAATTGCTAGAGAATCTGAAGAAAATTTTGAAGATTATTAGTACATTAAGGCCATCTTATAGAAGAGATCTAAATTAAATCATAAAAGCTTTAGAAAATAGTTTGTGATGCACCAAAAGAGCACTGAAAAATTATGGAGGGATTTTGCTACAAAATTACAAGAGAAGAAGGATCAATGGCCTTGAAATCAAGAAACCTTAAAAGACCTTATTATCACAGACCAAATTAAGAAATAAAGAGACCATCTTCTTGACAAAGGGCTGAAGTTCATTTCTCCAACCAAATTAGTGGACAAACTTCATGAATACGACAGTGTTTGTAATGCTTCAAAAAAGACTGGTGATAGTCCATCAAAAGACAAAACTAATGAAAAGTGATGACCTCATTCTGCACTTCTACGAAGGGCTTTCAAAAACAAATCATTCTGCTTTCAGAACACGCCAAGAGTATACCCATCATGTAAGAATGAAGAGTCACACAATTTCCAAACTAACTTGCTTTAACTGTGGGAAAGAAGATCATACATTTAAATTCTATACCAAAAATCAGATACCATGAAATACTCCTGCAACAGTGCAAAACAACTTATTCTAAACACAAGCACCCCTTGCACAGAAGGAGAAACCAGAAGTGGTAACAGCCACGATCTCTATACCTGTATCAAAATTCATGGATGTATTTAAAAACATAGATGATTTGAAACTTATCAAAGTTGAATGTGAAGATATTGTTTTAAATGGAATTGTAGCCACGGGAGCATAAATTTCAGTAGTCCATGAAAGATTGGTTTATGGCATATCTTGCAAAGGAGGAAGTAAAATAGAGATATCTTCTGCTTTTGGTGAAAACGAAATTACTCAACATTTTTCAGATGAAAACTGACGATGATCTTCATGGTAGAGTGCCCATTACCTGTGCTATTTCAAAAAAGCTAGTTATACTGAGTTCTTTAGCTTATAAAATGCTCTGCAAAAATACTGAACTGTGTCACAGTGATTGTCAGTGGAATGCATCTTCCTTACAGAATCATATGACGAACCCTCACCAGCTGAAGACAATATTTCAAATTTAGCTGTTAATCAGATTTTCCAAGGAGACATAGAAATTGTGAAAACAACAAACAAAATAAATAAGACTAGAAATTAGGACACTTCAAGAACAAGCTGAGACTCTGAAAACGTGTTCTGAATGGTGAATAAGAACAAAAATTCACATGCTTTTTATAATGCTGTATTACTTCATTCTGACTATATCGGTGGTGAAAACATTAAGTAAGCTGTATTACCTTTGATAAAAAGACAGGAAGTTCTGAGAATGGCACATGAAATCCCTCTTGCTGGACACCTCGGTGAGAAAAAGATAATTCAAAAATCAAGTATTTATTCTTTTTGCCTACTACTAAGGAATAAGTTTGGGATATGTTCAGTTGACCTATGCACCAGATGGGCAGAAGCCACTCCTGTCAAAGAGATAAGTGTGAAAATTTTAAGATATAACATTCTGATGAGGATCTTTTCTCAAACTGGATTTCCAAAAATGATTTGTTCCAACCAGGGAACTAATTTCTCAGCCAAACTGACCTGAGCTTTTGAGGACCTGCTTGGTGTATCTCCACGATTCTCCACTCCAGGACATCCTGAGAGTATGGATGTTATCGATGGAATAGAACTGTAAAAGAGATGAAGAAAAACGTTTAAGAACAAGGAAGAAGTTGTGTTTTATATCTTCCTTATCTACTGTTTGCCTACAGAGAAGTGGTACATAGCACCACTGGTTTGTCTCCTTTCCAGATGGTGTATGGAAGATACCACCAGGACCTTCTGAAAGAGATCCAAACAGGTGAACATAGCATTCCAGTCGCATTTTCATTTCTCGGTGGAGTTTGTGATAGTGGAATCAATTTCAGTTTCTTCAATTCAGACTTCATTTTCTCTTTTCTGTTGTGCTTTTAATTTTTCATTTTTCCGGTTTTCTTCTATTTCTTTCCTTCTCTGTTCCTGAATCTCTTCTTTCCTTCGCAGTTTTCCTGTCTCTTCTTTTCCTCTCTTCAGCAATCGTTAGAAATATTTCTTTAGTCAAGGCTTCATATGTGTCACTTTGAACTCTTTTTTTTTTTTTTTTTTTTTTATTGCTACAATTTTTATACTTGGGTCCACTTGAATTTCTAATTCAGCATCTAAAGCTAACAATTCCTCCTTTTTCTATATCTCATAAAAACCATGTTTGATTTTGTTAAAACCTCAGTCCTATAAAAATTTAATAAAGAAAACCTAATTTCTCATTAATACTTCCTTAAATTTACCCTTAACTTTAGTTAAAGTATGAATGCTCTAGTTGAGATTTGTAATAATTTACTTAATTTTACTAATTTTGAAACTGATAATATTTTCTTTTAAATGCACTTTAAATAGTGCATCATTTATGTGAAAAACAATTCAACAATATAAAATGTGGTATCAAAGTAACCAAAATAGAATAAAACAACCACAGTTTCATAATATTTAAACAACCACTAGATCTCTTAACTTCTTTCTGCAATAAAGACATTTTGTGCAAAAAAATTCGATAAATTTTTGTGGTCTTCTCTTTTGTTCGGGAATAGCCCCCCCCCAAAAAAATCGCTTCTATGTCCGACACTATAACAACTGGCTGACATAAATAATGTTTTCTGACATTATTCTGTCAATTGATTCTTACTTTTAGACAAAGCAATCTTTTTTTTTTTTTTATTTCATTCAAATAATATTTTAGCTCATTACAGATATACAGAGTGCTTCAGAAAAATGTATACACACTTTGAACTCTCATAGAAAATTTATTTTCCAACCTACAAGGTTCAATTTCTCGGAATAGTAAGGTAGATTCCAATTTGAAAAATAGTGTACTTTCTGGTCAGAGTGAATGTTCTAGATGGCATTTAAATTAAATGTTCAAGTGGTAATCTTCAGCATCCATACTTTTCTGAGTACGAGTCAGGACTGCTTCCATACTTTGCACCAAAATGTCCAATGGGATTTCTAGCCACATCGCTTGAATCTCATCCCAAAGTGTGTCAAGGTTCATGACACATGATGACGGTGTTCAGGTCCAATTTTGTGAATGGGTTCAGGAGATGGTTATACGTGAACTGGGATTTATGAGTAACATTCCTTCCCTGAATGAAGCGCAATTTAAATTTAATGGAATTGCCAATAGACATAATTGTATGTGCTGGATTGAAGCTAATCTTCACATTACTGTTAAAAAGGTTGTGAATTTGCCTGATGCAAAAGTGTCGTGGTTTGTCTTCTAGGGTAATCATTGGTACTTTCCGTTTTGAAGGTTATGTAATTGGAGCAAAGTATCTAACAATGTTTCCTAATTCCATTTTCCTGATATTCTGTAATGTATGGTAATGCCATGTTTTATTACCAACAAGATGGACCCTTTCGCACTATCACAAGGATGTGCAAGAATACCTGGATCAAAATATACCAGGCCAGTGGTGGATATAATGGAGGGGACCAATCAAGTTTCCTGCAAGCTCTCCAGACCTTACGGCACTCTATTATTTTATGTGGTGCAGTCAAAGATGAAGTGTACCATCATACCATTGTAACCTTGACACGCTTTGGGATGAAATTCAAGCGGTGTGCGTAGAAATCCCATTGGACACTTTGGTGTGAAGTATGGAATCAGTCGTGACTCGTACTCGAAAATGTATCGATGCTTAAGACCACTATTATGAACATTTACTTAAACACCATTTGGAACATTCAGTTTGACCAGAAAGTATACTTATTTTTCATATTGGACTGTAGCCTTACTTTTCCCAGAAATTTAAACTTGCTTTATGACAGTTCGAACCGTATACACATTTTTTTGATGATCCTGTATATATATTCTACAGAATATTCTACAATTCTTAAACGGAATGTAAAATTATGCACTGGCATGCATTAGAATATTGAAATTAAAAGTTTAATAACCTACTTTTTTCACATATAATGCATAATAAATTTAATTATTTAATACAATTTTTTAATTACTTGGGACGAAAATCAAAACAGAATAAATTCGTAACAGTTTTATTTAGAATGTGCTGTTCACTTAACTCTGATTTGTAAAATGTACCCACTTTCGAGCACTGGTGTATTTATTACTTTTACAAGTAAACAAGCTAATATTTCATGATGGAAAAAAATAATTCAATTTTAGTAATTTTCAAATACGTTTCGCCCAAATAATTATTACTGCTTAAATACATTGGAACGTACAAAATAAATAGCTGTCACCTGGGTTATTATGTTTCGTTATGGTATCCTGTCAGCTGCACCAATAAAGATCTTCCATTTGAATATCAGAATTTACAGGAATGTCATGTTCTAATTGCTTGCTAATAAAACTTTTCCTTTTAGTTACTCCATTCTGCATTCCATGCTGAGATGCATTTCTTTCCGCGCTTTATTAAATTTCAGTTACTAACGGTTCTTGAAATGAAAACTCACAATAAACAAAACCATTTTTTTTTTAATATCAAAAATTTTTTTTATTTTAACTTTAAAAGGGAAAATATTAGCTGCTCTCACACAGATTCTAAAGATTTTGGGGCTGAGAATATCATTTGGATGTTGCTGTTCTGGAAAAGCACAAATCTTTTTTTTTTTTTTTTATTCATAATTCATTATCTTTACAGCCTTTTTGATCAATAATCGTATTTATCAATTTGGAGAGTTCTTTTTTGAAAATGTTCCTCTGTGCAGTGCCCAGTTTTTTTTTTTTTTTTTTTGTAATTTAAAATTAGCAGCTAAGTAGTAGTTGCATTTAGCTTGCTCTTTTAAAGCAAACTTACTGCTTCTGAATCGTTATCAATGTAAAAATCTTTGTAACTGAAAAAAATATTATTGTAAGAACACAGTATGTAATACATATTGAAAGCATTACATCTGCTAATCTACTGCTGGTAAGTCTTCTGTTCATTAGCAGGTGAGAAGACAGAAATTACATGTGGCTTTAGTGAGTGCTATGTACTGATAACCTCAAAAATCCCCACTTTATTCAAGGTCAATTGTATAGTTAGTTTACATTTTAAAATTTAGTGCACTAACTTTCAAATATGTTTGATTTAACAATTTCTTAAAGTGTAGAAGTAAATTAACTTTTCATTGAACAATATATCTTAACTTTGTACTAAACAATTTTCTTATACTTCCCTTTTTTTTAATATCAGGCCCTGATAAGGAGAAAGGTATTTCAGAGGATTTGGATTCTGGAAAGGGTACCATTACAAGCTTACACGGCAGCATAAGTTCACTCAATTCAACATCATCAAGTTTTTGTATGTTACCTAATGATAATCCTGAACAGATTGAAGTTATGAAGCAATTAAAAGAGATTAGAGAGCAAGGAATTGACTTGTAATTTGAAATTTATTATTCTTCCATGATATAATAATTTTCTTATTTATTATGATTTTTAAGAATTTGAAAAATGCTAAGTTATCAGTCCTGATTTGTATTTTTGATATTTTGAGTCCAGTATGTATGTGGTTTGCAAAAAAAAAAAAGAAAGAAAAAAAAAAAGAAAAGAAAAGAAAAAAAAAAAGAATTATATGGATAATTTTTCTTTACTTCTATAACCAGGGTTGCCACGCTACCTGGAGAACCGGGAAAAGTCAGGGAATTCAAAAATTGACCAAAATATTCAGGGAAAAGTCAGGGAATTTAAGTATTTTTGTCAAAATCTGGAAAAGTCAGGGAAGTTCATACAACGATCCTGCCAAAAAAAGCGGTTTTTGCGCCGACGTCGGAAGAAATAACTTTTTTGGCGAATTATGTATCACGTGAGTGTCATTCGGGTAGCTGGCATAGAGCCAATTTTCGCAGCTCCAATTTGATTGTCTTTTAGAAAGGCAAAGCAACTTTCCCACAACTTTTGGTTTCCAATATTCTCGAGAATCGCATGTGCAGTGCATGAACTAAAGAAAGTACCTGTTCTCGTATAAAACAAAATGTGTTTAATCCTAGTATACGGTACTAGGATGGAGGTTAGAATCAAAGAATATGTATTGTAAAGAAGGAAAACCTCTCTGCAACAGACGTAGCTGTGGCTCCATTCCATCATAGAGGGAAAACAGCTGTGCATGTCTGATATATCTATCGCCAAAGCTCGAAACCGGTGTCGAAGTTCGAAGGTCACGTTATCAAGAGTTCATAAAATGAATATCATTTAAAATTTCTTTAACCACTTGCGCTAAAAAGACGTGCGACGCACGTCAAGATGCTTTTGTCTCAAACCGCGAGCGACGTGAACACCACGTTGATAAGCATTTATCGCAAAAATGAAAATAACGTGGTGCACACGTCGCCTAACTGTTTATTTCTCGAGTTACAGCTCTGGATTGCACTCGCAGATGCGGAGCGGCGTAAATGAGACACTTTACCGCTTGTTATATTGTAGCGCACGGCACCACAACCGTGAAGTTTAGTCTTAGCGCAAGTGGTTAAACTCTAAAGGGAAAGAAAATATTTTTTGGCGCAAGTAAATTAATTCATGGATTAGTTATTTTCAGGGGGAAAAAAAAAACTACGAAAATCTGTTTTTAAAATTATTGCGAAAAATCCAAGAAGAAACGTCCTTTGATAAAACGTTTCTTCTTGGATTTTTCGCAATAATTTAAAAACGGATTTTCGTAGTTTTCTTTTTGTCAAAAAGCGTTTCTTCTTAACACGTGTTTCTCAATTTCCTGTACACATCGCGGAGAGGGAAATTGTGGCCGTTCCGTCGTCAAATCCCTTGGCAAATTTTCCCTCCGCTTTTTACATACACTTTCTTTGGTGAGAATAATCTCCATGTATGGTACAGTGGGATTTGGCGACATGATGATGAGCAGTAAAGGGGTCATTTTGTTCTTGGCGACAATTTTCAAAATCATGCGAAGGCCGTATCGTCTACTAGGATTTTACCGCAAAATCTTTTTTTCCTTTTCTTTTCTTTTTAATAAATACCTTGTCATTTTGGCAGTAAAATAAAAAAATAGTAATCAATCATCTAGGATAACCATGTAATATAACTATATTCGCTAAAATATCGTTGATTATTCTAATTCAATTTTTAAGTAATTATTTGTATGTTATTCATATAATTTAATGTTGCTTCTTCCCTCTAAATTTATTTATTAGTAAATAATATTTCCAAATTTCAGGAAATTTTCTCTGGCATAATCCTGAAATTAATTATAGCAGTATGATGACATACCATCACGAAATTTAATGCACATATTTTTTCCTTATGTATGCTGCGAAATAAATATAAAATACTTCAATTTATTAAAATCGATTTCTTTCTTTCGTTTAGCTGCAGAATGTCTGCGAAAAAAAAGCCTTATTTTATTCCAGATTGGGAAGATTCTAATTTCAATCTTCAGTGGAGACAACAACTATTATAATTATATTTGTGTTTTCAAGTGTTAAGGTGCCTTTTAACAACATACCTCACGTAAATTAAATTTACCTAAAATCTAACCTAACTATTTAGCATTGTGTTGTGATTTATAAGGACCGGATTAGCCTCGTGTTGAACTGGTGATGATCATGAGTAATAATTAAATAAAACATACATTTGTTATCCAATATATATATCTTAAATTTTATTAAGTTTCTTAAGTGGAAAACTAAACAAAATTATCAAACAAAGTATACCAAGAATAATTAAGAATAAATGTCCTCTGGGATTTATTAAATAATTAAGTGAATTTGCTACACAATACAAGTAATACCATAATTAATTTACCTCTTAGCACAGCCAACGTACATTATGCGGATAGACTGGAATTTTCTTGAAACACACCTGGAAAAGTCAGGAAATTTCATTCTCCTGTTTGAGTGGCAACCCTGTATAACCTATACAGTGGTGGCCAAAATTGTGGACACTTTTGGAAATTTTTATGTTTTTGAACTTTATATGCTTATAGAAAATGTTATGTTTCACAAAATGCAAACTTGTATATATCATTTTAAAGAGAATTTATTACTGAATTCAATACAAAACACAAAATTCAATTATTTGCAATACAAAAAAAAAAAAGTTATATGTACTTTAATATAAATGAAAAACACAGTTATGAAGTGGTTTGTAATGTCTAGCTTTCCTGGCCAATAACTGTTCTTGTTCTGAGAACCAATCAAATGTTAGTAAGTGCCAGTAGAAGCTGACATCATGTTTACACTTGAAACAATTCATCATTTTGCTTTGTTCTGTAGAAGGAGGACGTGTTTCTTATACACTGCAATTAGAAGTAGGAATTTCTGTAAAAATTTTTCATATTTAGTCAAGAAGCAATGACATCAAATAAAAGAGTAGATTGGACACCTAGAAAGAAATGTAATATTATTGTGTTACGAGAAAGTGGTCTTTCCTAAGCTGAAATTGCAAGACATGTGGGTGGTTCAGTGACTACATCTGGAGTCCGAAAGTTTTGTTTACGATATCAGGAGACAAATTCAATAAAAAACAATAAAGGAAAAGGCCGAAAAAGGTGCACCACATCTATTGATGACAGAAGAATAAAAAGACTTTGTCTCCAAGATAGAAAAATGTCATCAGCTGCCATCAGAAGTGATCTGAATGATGCTGGTATTTCTGTCAGTTCAAGAACAATCAGAAGACGATTAACAGATGTTGGACTGAGAGGTAGAATTTCACGAAAAAAGCCTTATCTTAATTTTCAGCAACGAAAAAAAAGACTACAGTGGGCAAAGGAACACATTAATTGGACAGATGATCAGTGGTCACAAGTTATATGGAGTGATGAAACTAAGATATCGTTATTCGATAGTGATGGGCGAAAATATGTAAGCCGTAGAATAGGAGAAGAGCTACATCCTGACTGCATTCAAGCAACTGTGAAGAACCCAGTTAGTGTTATGATTTGGTCATGCATGTCAGCAGATGGTATTGGTCGCCTTCATGTCATCGGGTGGGACACTGAATGCCAGAAAATACATTGACACTGTTCTAGAACCAAAATTTCTACCTTCCATCAGAGATCTCTTTTCCAACAATGCTTTGTTTATTTTTCAGCAGGATTCTGCTCTTTTCCACACGGCCAAAATATCGAAGGAGTGGTTTCGTACAAAGAGCATTAAATTATTTTCATGGCCAGGAAACAGTCCTGACCTCAATCCTATCGAAAATTTGTGGCACCGTTTGAAAACTCTTGACCGAATGAGGCGCGCATCAAATAAAAGGGAACTAATTTAGGCTATAATTGTTTCCTGGCATCATGTAATAACGAAAAAAGAGCTTAAAACTCTTGTCAGCTTAGTGAAACGTCGATGTGAAGCTGTAATCAAAAATAAAGGGTACACTAAGTACCGATAACTCACTGCAATCATCACTATCTAATGTATATCGATAACTATTATCGTTTAACTTTTTTTATTGCAAATAATTCAATTTGTGTTTTATATTGAATTCAGTAATAAATTCTCTTTAAAATGATATATACAAGTTTGCATTTTGTGAAACGTAACGTTTTCTATAAGCATACAAAGTTCAAAAACACAAAAATTTCCAAAAGTGTCCACAATTTTGGCCACCACTGTACATCTGTTGATCTTTTAAATTAGATAATTATTTCAATTAACTACCATTTCTGAAAGTCCTTTTGAATCTTCTCTGGAAGTAAATCCTCTTCTTGCAAGAAAATATTTTTGTGATTTTTAATTACTTAAGAAATTATTTTGAATTTAAGAATTGTTTGTAGATTTAACCGCAAGCCAGAAAAAGGTATAGCGTACTTACAGGAGCATGGAATATTAGGTTTTACACCATGGGATATAGCTGAATATCTGCATTCTGAAGAACGGTTAGACAAGGTGAGTGGTTATTGCAATTTTTCTTTGTTTAGTATTTTTATTTTATTTTACTGTTTTGATATTAGAAGCTGTTGCATTGAAATGTCATTACAAGTTATCATTACTGTTTTTTTAATACTAATTGATAAATAAACAATAAATTTTCATTTATAGACACTGGTTGGAGATTTTCTTGGAGAGAATAATAAGTAAGCAAAACATTGTGTTCTTTTTGTGTTTCTTTATTTCAATAAAATTTTCTTGAAATTTTAATATAACAATTTTAAACCATTCCTTAATTTTTATATCTTTAATACATGCTGTGTACACTAAAGTCCTTACATGACCTTTACTTTTGCAGCCGTTGGTTGTAGAAAAAACAATTTAAATGGACGAGTACTATAATTTATATTTTCATATTTTTCAATTTAAAAAATTTTGTTTGTTTAAAATACAAATGCTAAATGGAATTCTTAGTTCAAAATTCTTTTAAAAATAGCTGTTGCCTTTCGCATATCAGCTTGGCAAAAAATTAATTGGCAACTTTTCAAAGGGAAATGCAGATAATCAAATTACAAAAAGTTGATTTAACTTTCCTAAATGCATATGTAGGGCCCAAAGCAATGTGTAAAATGTTAGATTTCATAATTTGTACAATTTTTTCAATTAAAAATACCCAAACAGGAATATTTGCATAATTTTAAACTTTTTGAGATACATGTCTACAACCAATAGTTTTGAAAATAAAGGCCGGGTTTTAAATGCAGCAGAATTTTTTTAATCTTAAAAAATTTCAATTTCATTTGTACTTATGGTGTTTATTGTGTTTCAGTTTCTGTAGATTAAATAGGGAAATGATGTGCTGCTATGTTGATCAATTGAATTTTACTGGAATTGATTTTGTATCAGTTTTTTTCATCCATATGTTTCTGTTTTTATAGATTAAATAGGGAAGTGATGTGCTGTTATGTTGATCAAATGAATTTTGCTGGAATTGATTTTGTCTCAGCTTTACGGCGCTTCCTTGAAGGATTTCGCTTACCTGGAGAAGCTCAGAAAATTGATCGTTTAATGGAGAAGTTTGCTGCTCGCTACTGTGAAACAAATCCAAAGTAAGTGTTCGAATCTGTGATAAATTCATTAATACTTTATTTGGAAACTTATATATGATCAAACTGCAGATTTTACCAAACTGCAGAGTCTACATTTAAATCCGTCATTTCCTGTATATATGCTTAGTGATTGCATTCAAGTCTTTTCTTCAGTTGTCTATAAATATATTTCTAATTTACATTTGTGTTCAAGTCTTTTCTTCAGTTGTCTATAAATATATTTCTAATTTACATTTGTGTTCGATTTATTTGACTATGTAGCCTAATAACGTTCTGAAATTGTTAGCCTGTTTAATGAGGCTACTTTTTTTCAGCAATGGACTCTTTGCAAGTGCAGATACTGCATATGTTCTTGCTTATTCAATCATTATGCTAACAACTGATTTGCACAGTCCTCAGGCAAGTACCTCTTATTATTTATTCATAATTATGAAATTCCATAGCTTTTCAGCTGTGTTCTTTTTATCAAAACACCTTATTCTTTCAACTAGTATGTAGTCAGTAATTGCATGTTAAATTTTAGAGTCACTTTACTGTTGGTGTTGTACCAAAGTAATTCGTTTGCTTTTTTTAGGAAGATTTGTATTTAGTTCCCAGTTCAACGTTAAGCTTCTTTGCTTTTTAATATATGCGTATGTTTATTGTTTATTACTTTGCAATAACGCAAAAGCTGTACCATTCTATTTATTTCAGTATACAGTCAAAAGTCGTTAATTCGGACACCCATAATCCGGAATGATCTATAATCCGGACCTCAAAGCTAAATACTTTCTGCGCATGCGCCACGTTGACGCATGCGCACAGGCGTTTAAGCGTCCGCGTAAGACCTTTACGACTGCGCATTTGCGTGTGCACAAGCGCAGAATACGTTTTCGCTGCGCGTTTAATGTATAACGGATGGTATAAGCTAAAATTATCTAATTGTCTATTTCAGTTAATGTTGATGATTGCGTTGTTCCTTAATCTTCGAATTGGATCTGGCTTATTATTTTTTGCTGACTGTAAGAGCAATTTTATAAAAGTAAACTTGAACTTTTGATTATGTCAAATAGAATTTCCGATGCTGGAGCTCCCAAAGGATCTACGAAAACGAAAGTATGTTTCGATGTCCATCAAACAAAAAGTGGAATTGCTCCAAAAAATGGATAAAGGCATATCCTGTGTTTATCTAACCGTTCGGAAATCTGTTTATTTCACGCTGCTCTGCGCGGGGGGAAGGGGGAACTTGGCGGCGCGCAATAAACTGGAAGTTGATCTGTCAACACTATCGTTATCTTCAGGGCAGATGTTTTTATTTTATTCGGCTTATAATTCCTTATTAAATGTAGTATTTCATCTCGATGTACTTCGTCTTTGATATGATTTAAATCAAATTCCTCGTCATTATAAATATCACGAATACAAATCAAATAATTAAGACACAATAACACGCCGAATAAATACTAATTCAGAAGTCAAACAACAATTTTGTAAATTAACGCTGATTTTTGTTGTTTGACTTCTGAATTACAAATCAAATAGTTTTCTGGTTGCAATTTTCTAATTTCGGCTATGCATAATGTATACTTTACGCATGCGCGCGTTGAAAGAAATGTTTAATAAAGTAAACAAATAAATATTAAGCTTTTTTTTTGTAAATTTTGATACCCTTTAGATCATAATTGCTCATTATTTTATAAATTACGGTTTCATATTTTTAATTTTATAATTTCTGCATGCCATCGTACCAGATTTAAACTGATGATCTATAATTGGGAAAAATCTATACTTCGGAATCACCGAAGTCCCGACGAGTTCGGATTAAAGACTTTTGACTGTATATGACTCACAGCTTTGTTTATTTTAGTTCACCTCCTGCCTTAAACACTTTCACTTTTGAATGCAAAAATCAGAAATTCATTTTTTCCCCAATCAAATAGTCATATTTATTACTAAAAATAAACATTGTTTATATTTGTATAGAAATTGCATTCTAATTTAAGAGTATGCTAAGTGCAGTGCCTAAAATATTAAGTATTCATTTTATAAATAAAATTTTAGTTAAAAGCCTTCTTTTAAATGTATATGTTTATTTGAAATTATATTTAAGCATTTAACAAAACTATATATTTGTGTTTGTAAAATGTGTAAATGCTGTCATACTGAAACTTTTATTCATGATGCATAAGCAACTAAAAATTCAGACCTTTCTATGTGTTGTGTATTATATCAAAAAAACTTACAGTCTTAAAAACAATGTATGTGATTTTTTTACCTCAAGGGAAAAGAGGTAGCAGTAAATACAGCTTGTGAAAGTGGCTTGTATAAGGTGTAGATCTATATATAAATATCCACCATCTGTAGTTTCAGAACTGATGTTATTACATTATTATTTATTAGCAAAGAAAAGAAAGATGCATTTATAAATGTGTTATACTTCCCTAATTGTGTGTTCTTTTATATCAAATTGTAAAAAAAATTTTGCTATTAAATATTACATTCAGGATTGCATTTCTTTGTTATGGAAATTTTCAAAAATAAAATGAGCTTTTTTATCTGATAGTTTTTCACAAATATTTTACATTGCTTTTATAATTAATTGATTAACTCACCAGACATAGATCATTTGTATATATGTTATATTTTCATTAGGGCAATAAAAAATGATCATTCTTTGTTAAGTTATGAAGCTGCTCTGTAAGAGATTATTAAGCAGTTTATGAAATGCATTTTAAAAGCAAAAAATTTTGTAATTTAATTGTTTGATTTAACTTTGCTTTTTAAAAATTTGAATAAAGCAATTATAGTTAATAAAGTTTATATTACTTGTATTACGATTAACAGTTTAAGAATCGTGTATTTCGTAGGAGGGTATAAATCTGTCACTAATCTGTAAAGTCTGCCTTCTTCTGAAATATGAACTTCCACTGTGTGTTCTTTCCAGTATCTAAGAGGAAGTTATAGTAAAATTAACGTAGAGGTTTCCAACTAAAGATTATGCTGAAATGGCAACTAGAGAATGAGATTTTCTGATATTAAAATTTACGAGTGTGAATGAGATTATAAAGTATTTCTCTCACCTTCTTTGCATAACTTTGTGTAGTGGTCAGCACACTCGGCACGTATTCGAGAGGTCCATGGTTCGAGTCCCAGCGAGGGCATTGCTCATTTTTCATCTATCCTGCTTAAAATAACCTAATGTCTCTTCAGTGGCACCCAAAGTAAAAAAAGTGGTGGATGATGATTCTTTACCAGGATTTGGTGTTTGGGTTCCCTAATCACCAGTCAAAGGGGGGAGTATATAAGGTATGTCTCCCATCTTCTTAGCATGCATTCGTGGTGTAGTGGTCAGCATACTTGGTGCATATTCAAGAGGTCCGAAGATCAAGTCCCAGTGAGGGCATTGCTCATTTTTCATATCTCCTGCATTAAAATATCCTAATGTCTCTAGAAGATATTTAAGCAAAATTGGTGCTATGAATTTGAAATTAAATTTTTTATGGAATTGCGTGCATACATAATGAAATATGGTGGGAGAGAACTATAAAACTGAAAACAAAAATTTCTTTAACAAATTAGAGAAAATACTTATCATTATTTCTGTTGGAAAAGATTGTGGTTCAAATTTTCTAGGATGAACTTAAGCAGAGGAGTTAGGCAGACTAGTACACTTTCAGCATTGAATTAAAATTTACAGAAACAGATTATAATTTTTTTTATGCTGTAACTGTCGATTTCTATAGATATCGGTTCAGTCAGGTCTATGGAGTGCATACCTGAAGAATCATTTGAGAGAATAGACCTCAAATATTTTGCCTGATTCCTATACAAAATAGTATGGGCTGTAACTGAAAATCTGCATGTTGTGAAATAAGGCAGAACCAAAGGTAAGAAAGTAAAAAGCATCCTGCAAAATGAAATATTACTGTCACAGAATATGGATAAATAAGCTATGTAATTAAATGAGAACAAAATTTTACAAAGTTGCTGTGTGATAAAGGAATGATACACTGTTAAATAGTTGGCATTCAAGTTCTTTGGTTTTTAATTTGGTAATATGCATTTGATTTTTGTTATTATAATGTAGTTTTGTTTATAAAGGGAGTTTGTTAGACCAGAAAAAGGAGATGTTTACTTTATATGTGCATAAATTAAAGCAATCTTTAAGGGGCGTATGAGCATCATATGCAGATGGAAAAATAATTTATGTATATAAGTGCTAGTTTTATGCTTTAATTTATAAAATTTATTCTTTTGTTTTTCTATTATAATGTATTGCAGGTAAAAAACAAAATGACTAAAGAAGAATATATTAAAATGAATCGTGGTATTAATGAATCAAAAGATCTGCCAGAGGAATATCTGTCTGCAATATATGATGAAATTGCAGGGAATGAAATAAAAATGAAATCAACAGGAACAAAATTTAGTGGAAAAGAAGGTTTGTAGTATAACACATTTATTTACTAGAACTTGATAGTCTAAAAGAGAAGTTATCAGTTTTAAACACAGGTATTTTAATATAAGTCTGATATTTCCATGGAAATCTTTTTCTTAGCTAGAACTTTGGTATTTCAAATATAATTTAACAAAATTGAGTTATTTTTAGAGAGAGAATCAGCTTTATGAGCAGAAGTTGATGACCTCATAAACTAGTCTTTATAAAATAAAGTATTAAAGAAAGTTTCTGATATGTGTTTTACTGGTTTGACTCTAGTAATTATAAAACTCAGAATTCATAAAATTTTAAATGTATGTTTATAGAATCATAGATTTCATGTAATATCTCCTACTTTTGTATTCAATTGCAGCATATGGCAGTGAAAAGAAGCGTCGCCTGTTATACAATGTGGAAATGGAACAAATGGCTCAAACCGCAAAAGCTCTGATGGAAAGTGTTAGTCATGTACAAGCTCCTTTTACATGTGCAAAACATTTGGAACACGTGCGTCCAATGTTTAAGTTATCATGGTCTCCATTTTTGGCGGCATTCAGTCGTACGCTAAATGATTGCGAGGATTCTGAAATAGCTAACTTATGTTTGGAGGGTATAAGATGTGCAATTAGAATTACATGTATTTTTCATATGACGGTAAGTTTTAATGGACTACTAATATAGAAAAAAATTTTGCTTGTGTGCCAGAGTAACAGAAGCATCATCATGCATGCCTTGTTAACTGTGATTGGTTTCATAGCAACTCTTCAAATGGTAAACATTCTATACATGTTGCATTCATGAATTGAAATTGGCAAAGTACATAATTATAAACTGTTTCACTAGTGATTTAAGTGCCGTTCTACTGTATTCAAAAGATAACGGATGTCTGGGAAAAAAGTCTCTCAAAAAAAAATTATTCCTTTTTGGCACGTTAATACAGTAATATCCTTATTATCTGCATTCTATCTGTAGCTATGCAGTGATACATATGTTTTAGCATTAGAAAAACAAAAGGAAGCTAGTTGGTCACTGCCACATCCTCTTTCTTTCTGCCCATACTGCACTGTAAAATGTGCATGTTGTTGAATTAAGCATCCACCAACAAAACATGGCATTTCTCTCTTCCTTTCAGAATGTGTGAGAGAGGTGAATTACATGCTGTCACAACAAGGGAAGAATATTCCATATTTGCAAGTAGACTTACTGCAGTACATTACTGTTTCTTAGTACACTAGAGGCAGATTTTCTGGTTTATACCATAAATTTAAGTCTGGCTAATCCTTATTTCTGAACATTCATATTTTCATATGAAAGGGTGTTCTATCTGAAAAACTAAATATCTTTTTTAGAAATTTGATGCAGAGCTGAAAATGAAACAGATGCTTTTAAAGGCTAAAATTCAAAATACGTTTATAACTTTTGAATTACCTCTGAAAAAACATATTAAAAATAACAGAACATTTTCTGAAGAGGAATTTGCTGTAAATATAAAAATAAGAGCAATTTTGTAGTTTATGATGTTACAGAAATTTTTTGTTTCGATCTTTTCATTTCTTTGATAGTGATAAAATAAGTTCTTTAGACTAAGAATAAATTTCGTAACATTATTTTATGAATAGTATTTATTTTAAGGCACAAAAAAATTTGAACAATCTAGAAGAGATCTTCATTTAAATCAACGAATCAAAATACTTGGCAAGTTTTGTAAAAGATCAGTAATAAAAGTAAGTTTTAAATCATCTGAAAACGTATAAAAATTTCATTAGGACAATCAATCAAAATTTCATTAAGCCATTAGTTTCATTTCATTGCCAAGTGGCAGTTTGCCACTTGGTGATGAAATGAAATTCTGATCTGTCGAAAAAGATTTTGATCTGTCTGCTGATATCACAAACAGATAAAATTACTTAAAATTGCTAAATAAGAGATAAAAAAGTAAACAAAGTTGTTCATGGATATTTCCTATTGTTTGAAATGATGTAAATTGCAGTTCAAAAGAGCCACAGAAACGAAATAGCGATTTCTGAGTTATTTTTAATAAAGAAGCATCGTCAGCTAGTGCACCATAGTAAAAAGGCTTTTTGCTAAGGGAACGGAGTATGCATTGAAAAATGTGAAATCAGGTTAAGTGTTTTGTGAACTTAAAATATACCTTAAGTAGAACACAAAAAATCTGGTATTTGAATGTGTGAGCTTTTTGAATGAAGAGAAATTTTCTTCTTCAAGTCTAATTTTCCCCAAATTTTAATTTATAAAAAATTTATAAAAATTTCCCAAAAAAATTTATAAAAATTTCCACTTTATTCCTCAAACTGGTGAATTTTTAACTTTTATGATGCACATTTCATTATTTTGTTTGCTGTATAGTATTCGACAAGTATGCAGATAATGCAGCTGTTTTTAAAACACATGTAATGCTAACTCCCATTCATTAAGATAATTTTTTAAAATTTTATTGTTCAGCAGCATGCCCTTTGCAAATGCAGGATCATCATACAAAACATCATGGGAGGGGGAAACAAGAAGAAAACTTCTGAGTTCTAAAACATCACCTTAGAAAATAAAATGGTTAAGAAACTTAGCAGTTTTAAAACACTTTCAAACACAATATCATGGTAAAAAAAAAAAAATAAATAAAGACAGCACAGATCATTCATTGCATTATAATTGCATCAAACACATGTTTTTAGACTTAAAAAATTTTAAATGCATTTTCAGATAATGATTTGTGTGTGTGCAAGAGGGAATGAGGAATATGTATTTTATTTTTAGTTATGTGTTATTTCTCTATAATTTGTATTTTCGATTTAACTAATAAATTTATATAGAAAAAGCAAGAAGAAACCTAAGCATTCAAAAAGTGGAAATGAATAGAAAATTAGTGCTACATATAGCAATTAATGGAATTTTAAACTGTTAAAAGATCATTATTTAACTATTAAAGGTCATCTTATTATTAACATATTTAACTATTTAAGGCCATTGTTTAATCTCTTTTATAAAGTGGGAGGAGTAGTAATATCTTTTATGAAAACTGGATAAATAGTGCAAACATGCATTTAAAATTTGTTATCAGCTATGGTTCATGTTATGGTTTGTAGATGCTTTATTTTTTACCATAATATTTTCTACAATGCTGTTTTAAAATTGCAGAGTTTTTAACAGCTTTGTTTTTGACTGGAATATTTCAGAACTTCTTTTTCTCCTTGCTTTTTTTCTGTCTTCCATGATGTTTTGTACTTTGATTTTTTCCCCTCTCGCTGTTTTCGCAATTGCGTTCGTGTCCTCAGTGCATTCAGCAGGCACTACAAAAACAAATGTAAGAAAGTTTATTGGGCTAAGTATGCAAGGGTTATCTCCCATTGTGTATAGAAGTGAAGCAAGACTAATTGATGTCTCATTCTAAAGGGAAATATCTAAATATCAGGGTTCATACAGTCCTTAGGTTTTTCTCAGAAATGATTCTTGGTCCGTAAGTGTCCTTAATTTCAGTTCAGATGGCCAAATGGTCCTTAAGCTTGTTCATCTGACATTGTTTTGTTACAACCGCCATTTTGAAGTGTGAATTGATATTTTGGAGGAATATTTTTGGCAATATATTGACAAATACAGTGGCTCCCAAAAGTGTTCGTACACTTACAATTTTCATTAAAATAGGGCTCTATCCATTAATTAAAAGTAAACTTTCTGAATGAGTTTTTAATAATAAGATCTATAATCTATTCATGACAAAATTACATGAAATATTTTTTAAATATAGCGAAACTTTATTTTTAAGAAATTAATCAAAAAATGGCAAACAATTTATCTCACAAAAGTCTTCTTACACTTCAAAAAAATCTTGACATATTAGTAAATATTTTCATTTTTCATTAAATTAGTATTTAGTAGGAAATCCTTTAGCATCCACAACAGCTTTTAAACGTCTGGGAACAGTTTTTAATAGTTTTTTTGTAATTTCTGTATCAATGTTCATCCATTCTTCCATCATGACTGTTTTAGTTCACTTTTCGTTTTGATGTCATGTTTTTGTACTTCAGTTCTTTCTAAATGTGTTCTATGGGGTTTAAATCTGGCAATTGAGGTCGTGTTTTCAAAACCTGTGGACAATTATAGAGACACCACAGGCGAACGTCGAGAGCCATATGCTTAGGATCGTTATCATGATTAAAAATAAAGTTGTTTCCAATACCCAAATTTTGGGCTGATAATTTTAAATTGTCTTTTAAAATATTTAAATAAAGGGAATGATTCATTATGCCATCAAGAAACACCAAATTACCTAGCCCAGATGCTGCCATGCACCCTCACACAAGAACACCTCCACCGCTAAGCTTAACTGTTCCAGAACTAAGTTCTTAGAATGAAGTTCTTAATTTTTTCTTCTCCATACAGTTATTTGACCATCGGAGCCAAAAATATTAAATTTGCTTTTGTCAGCAAATATGACATTATTCAGTACATTTCGGGTGTATTTATCATTGATTTTGCGAATGAAAGCATAAGCTTTCTGTTTTTCTCACTAAGAAAACATTTTTTACGGGCAGAACGCCTGTGTAATCCAGCTTCTCTGAGAACTCGCCGAACAGTTTCAGGTGAAATTGAAGTAGAAAACTTTTCATTAAATTCTGCAGAAACTTTTACATCACTTAAACGTGGGTTTTTCACAAATTTTCTAATAATAAATCTCTCATCACGTTTAGTTAACTTTCTGGGTCGACCTTTTCTTACCTTGTTTTCAATCTGATTTTCTTCTTTAAAGTGTTTTATCACATACTGCAATGTAGAATATAATTAATTAACTAATTTACCAATATTTCGAATTGATTTATCACTACTATGGTGAAAAATTATCAATTTTAGAATGCTGTTTGTAATTTCTTCACGACTGCAACCCATTTTTCAATAATAAATAGAATATTATGAAGTAACCAATAAAAAATTAAAGCAAACGATTTTTAAATGCCACCACAATGCAAAAATTTAAAAAAAGTGGCAAATGATAATCCTAATTTTGATTTTATCCAAAAATATTTCAGTATACGAAGACTTTTGTAAGATAATATATTTGTCACGTTTTTATTATTAATTTCTTTAAAATAAAGTTTTGCTATATTTAAAAAATATTTCATGTAATTTTGTTACAAATAGATGATAGATCCTTATTATTAAAATCTCATTCAGAAAGTTTACTTTTAATTAATGAATAGAGCCCTATTTCAATTAAATTCATAAGTATACGAACACTTTTGGGAACCATTGTATGTATTTGATGGGTTAATATTTTAATCCTACTTTGTAATATAAAGGGTGGATACTTGAGATTTAGTCATGAAGGCCTGCCTTGATTGAAACACAAACATTTTGAAATAATTGCTTTTTTGTGAATGAAAAGTTCATAAAATATTACATCAAAAACGATTTTTCCTGTTTTGGAATACGAGTTCTTTTACTACGCAATGCTAAATTTAGCAACTATGAACATTTTGGTGATTCAAGATTAGCTTGTATAGAAAAAATTTTATTCGGAGATTTGTGAATCTTTTAAAGTTTTTTTTTACAAACATAATATTGGTAAAGATCATAAAAATAATGATAATATATTAAAATTATATTTAAAAAATAACATTAAGATAAAACATATTTTTTCTTGCCATATTTACTTTACATTTTGGTGACTTAAGAATAGTTTGATTCTGAAAGATAAGCAAGATAATGAATGCTATAAAGCAATTTCCTAAACACATCTTGAAAAAAACCAAAAACACTGTTGTAATTATTTAAAAATTGATTTCATTTTTCTTCTTTTATATTTTTTCATGTTAAAGACATTTTTCTTGTGTAATTATTTCAGAATATTTAAATGTGTATCAGTTTTCTTTTGAAAGTTAATTTTATTCTTTTCTTTCCCGATTCCCCCATCCCAAATATCTTTACAATTTTTGCTGTTACAGAGTTGAGTGGAATAACTTTGCTTTCTGAATTTAGACCTTTCACCTCAGAAGGTTTCAAGGCAAGATTTATAAACTTACTATTTCCAGAATAACATGATTAAATGAAAAGTGTTTTCATAGTATTAACATACAATGGACCTGTTTTATAAGAAATGTGTGATGAATATCTTATTATTCTTACAATTTTGGTAAGAACAGTGTAAACAAAATTATTTGAATTTTTTACTTATGATCCCAGAAGTCTTAACATGTTTATCTTCCCTTTATTTCCATGTCTTTCCACTAGGCATAAACATTGAAGCAATCAAAGGAAGCAAATAAATTGAAAACCAACAATTTATTAAAAATTCACACAAATACAAAAGTGTCTCAGTGCACGATGTATACCTCAGTGCATGCCCTCTATTCTAAAAATTTTTCCCGAAATTATGTTGCTCGATGCTTCACTAAATTCTACAAATTCTACCACACTGATTCTGGCATCGGCCTTGATCTTATATAACTTCATATTTATTCTCACTACTCATATTATTATTAAAGAAATAAAATTACACACATCCTGCACATTCTTAAGTACAATCAGTTCCTTAGAAAAAGAGAATTCTTTAATTAAATCTGAAGGTTCTGAAATGAAGAAGAAATTGATTTTATAGAAAAAGAGAGAAAAATATTCTTAAAGGAGCATTGTCAAAACATATACAAATTAAGAGATGACGCAGAAACCAGTGGGAAGGTTGATTTGTTCATTGAAATGAATAAACTTAGAAAAGATTCTTAAGAGAAGGAAACTGATGTAAATTAGCTAAAACATCTAGAAAATTTTCAAATTAAAAAGCTGCATAAATGTATTGTTGTTTGCTTTATATTTTGTAGCTTTTAACATACAGTTATGTTAATTTCACATCAGAATCAATATAATAAATTATAACTGCTGTAAAAGATTCTTAGTGCTTTTTAATGGATATGTAAATATATTATGGCTAAGGGTAATTACTTGTAACAACTTCTCACCCTTAAAAGACATGTTAAGGTAAGTTATTGTAATCCTTATTGTGGATATGCCACTTGGCGTAAAGTTGCATAAATCTGTGAACTGAGTTAATATGTGACAAAATGAGGTATGAAAGAAAGAATCAACATGAAGCTAATTCTTAGTAAAATTTAAATAAAAAGTCACAAATCTTATTTAAAATATGTGGGATTATTATTATGTAAAATTTAAATGTTTTAAAAAATTTTATAATTTAATGCTAATTGCTAGAAAAAATTTATGAAGTTAATTTTATTCTTGAATTTGTTTCATAATTAAGGTAAATATTAGATTTTCACAGACTGTGAAAATTTGAAAATATAACGCTGATTTTTGTTGTTTGACTTCTGAATTAGTATTTGTTCGGCGTGTTATTGTGTCTTAATTAAATATTAGATGTTAAATAATAATGCATCTTACTGATATATATTACAAAAGTTTTGCTTTAGTTTATTCAGTTCCTCAAACAGAGTTTTGTTAAACAGTGCTCCAGCAAGTTATTGGATAGAAGGCAGCTCACTAATATCTGGAGAACTTCCTGAAGGACTGTGTGAATAAATTAAATAGTGGTGAATTGTTCACTGGGCTGGGTAATGCTTAAGTTTGAAATGGAAGAAATCATTTTTTGTCAGAACAGCTAGCAGATTTCATAGGAAAATGTCAATAAAAATCTCATCAAAATTTCAACCTTATTTACTGGCATTAAAATAGTAAACATTCTGAAATGAAGCAAGTAAATACATACAGCAGGGAATATTTTCTAATTTTTTATCTATTTATGTTGATGAGATATGTAGTTGCTATTAACTAACTTTGTAATAGCATGATGAAAATTTTTAGCATTCAGTAAGTAAATTTGTACCCATTTGAGCAGGATGCAGCTTGTACTTTTTCATAGGGAACAAATAATGTACCAGCAGTATCATTAAACATGCAGTGACTTGATGAATTTTCAAGAACTACATATCCTTAAATGTGGTACGAAGTTCCACTTGCTGAATGCTTGTAAATATTAGACACTGCATCCTTAACTCTCATTTTCCAGAACAAGGCAGGCATGATTTATAGATTTACATAAAGATTTAAAGAGGCAGCTTAATGTATGCATTGAAGCCATTATTGAGTTTTATGATGCTCCGGGTGCATATTATTGCAAGGGGGATGATAATATTTTTAGAAGGAGGATCTATATATATCTGTTATTTTGGCATGTGAGCGTAATTTTTTTCTGTGCATTTTAAATGCTTGTTTATAAATTTATTTTTCTCATTCTGCAAATTTAATTACAGCTGGAAAGGGATGCATATGTTCAGGCCCTTGCAAGATTTACATTACTTACAGCAAATTCTCCAATTACCGAGATGAAAGCCAAGAACATTGATACCATCAAAATACTTATTACCATTGCTCACACAGATGGAAATTATTTAGGCAAATCTTGGCTAGAGGTTTGTTCTCATTTTCTGATGTATTGACTGTATGCAGTTTCTTATATGAGGTGTATTGTAACTATCAACTGAAACTGTAAGATTTGCATTATTTTAGATTCTTCGCTGCATATCTCAACTTGAATTAGCTCAATTAATTGGAACTGGAGTTAAACCCCAATATTTAAACACTTCAGCTTCTCATCCTGAAGGGTCCTCCTTGATGTTTGATCCTGTTGATTGTAAGTACAGTTGTTTAAAATTAGTAAAGTAAATTGCTAATTTTCAGGTAAATAAAACGCAAAATGCTTATTTTTCAGTAGCTCGTGGCCGTCTTCCAATGGATCAGAAGCGAATAGCCTTGCTACAAGAATCCATGGGAGAGACAAGCTCACAGAGTATCATTGTAGCTGTTGATCGGTAACTTTGTTGTATTTTTTAATGTGAAGTAATATTTTGGATGTTTGTGACTTTTATACAAATATATGCATTTATATGTACAAAATACTGCCCTTTTTTAGAAAAATAATATTCCCTTTATAATGCTAAAGGAAAACAACATAATCTGTGCATTTTTTGCAGCAATGTAAGTGTTTTGATAAAAGCAATTTTTCATATTTATGCCAATATGATTATTTTAAGTTTCTTTAATACTTATTTGCCTGAAGTGGCATCATGATTAATACACATGAATGCTTCTGATTTTATCCCAAAATTGATTGTCAATAAAAATTTGCCTGCATTATTATTTTCCTATGTGTAAATTAATTGTGAGCAATTTCTATGTCTTGTGTGATTCAATTTTTTTAAGTCTTGGAGCGTTCTTCTAAGTACATAGGTCTTAAGTGTTTAACACATTCGCTGCCACCAAAATTTATATATCCATCCTCAGAAGCCGAATTTAAAAAAAGTGTTTTAATGATTAAAAACGTTCCTAATATTTTAATAGTAAAGCCAGAAAAAAAAAAGAAAAACCTTTTATTTTCATGTTTAGTGTAAAAAAATTTCAGACGCTCTAGAGCGTCAGTGGCACCTCACATTCAACTTATTATCTGTATGCCACTGACGCTCTGGCGCGTCTCATCATTTTTCTGCGAAATTATTGACACGTTATATAAAGTCACAGTTTAAAAGAAATAAAACGTTTAATTGGATAAAGAGAAGTGAAATTTATGAAAAATTATAAAATGTAGCAGTAAAACATAAATATGTATAAATGTAAATGTAAGATTATAAAATGTAACAAATATTGTATAATATACATAAACAACATAATAGAAAATGAAAAAAAAATTAAACTTATTACAAACAAAATGTCAGTGTTGAACAGTACTGCATAAATATATTATCACTTATGGTATATTTCACAGCAATTCAAGCAATATCCTGGCTTGTCGGGACAGTCACGGCACTCATACGTAGTGTCCGTGCGTTTGCCTTGAGAGGAACAAGATGTACACCTTTTTCTTTGTATTTTGGTTTTACCAGGTGCAAGTTCTCTTTTCTGAAGAGTATGTCTGAGATTCTTGGGAGTCGGCTTTTGGTTCGTCTGTTGATGGCAAAAGTGATTTTACAACGTTCAGGCAGTCGGTACTCGTAAGTGATTTTTTTTTTTCCGGAATATTATTATAAAGAGCATGTGAATTCATTAGCATTACTTCAATAGTATGAAAGAACAATTTTTTTATACCAGCGTAGTGATTTTCTCTCCGAGAGATAATATGACAGCATTTGATCTTGCCGATCTACACCAGACATAAACGCATTATATTTGATGATTGGCAGAGGCTTCTGCTTTATTTCATTTCGTTTATTTAAAATGTCAACCATTTCATTTTTGTATTCCGTAGAAATATAAGACACTTCACGCTTATCTTTCCATTTTCCGATTATTACTCCCTGACAATACCTTTCAATAGTATCGCCTTTTCGCAATTTTAGTAGTTTGAACATTCTTTGGAGTGTTTTTTTTTTCGAGTGGTTCTCAATGTGCCTGTGCAGTGTGTCTTTTTTATCTAACAGTAACTTGGCCAAGTCAAAGCTATTATAATAATTGTCCATGAAAACATGGTGACCGACATTTAATTTTTCATTCATAAATGCAAAACAATTTTTGTGTATGGTTTTGCCCTCCATAGTCATCTAATAAACCAGTATACACGGCAATCTTTTGCACTATTCCACTTGATGTGCTCAAAATATAAAGTTTTATACCGTACTTATGTCTTTTATTCTTATGTATTGGCGAAACAATAATCTACCTCGCCAGAGAACCATAGATTCATCCAAAGAAAGTTCTCTATTAGGATAATATATCTCGCACATTCTTTCGTTAAAAAAATCGATAACAGGGCGTATTTTATATAACCTGTCTGTAGGTTGAGGTTCTCCAGGTTCACTATTTTTTGCAAAATGTAATGCACATAAAATTAATAAAAACCGATTTCAGCTAATGCTATTTGCAATGCCTGCATTATGAAATAATGGGTCCTTCTTCCAGTAGTCCTGAAGTCTATTCATTCTTACTGTCCCCATTTGCAAGAATGCTCCCAAAAAAACTAAAAATTCATCCACTTTTAAATCTTTCCAAAGCGTTATTCGTGACTTTTCTTTCGTTTTATCGCTATTTTGTATTTCTAATGCGTAACGATTTGTTTCTTCGACTATTTTTTCCAGAAATACTTCAGTGAGGAAAAGGCGAAAATATCCGATAGGAGTACTTTCAGTTAGCTAGCTTTAGTTGGTTGTATTAGCAAGGACTCAGATTTTGTAAATGTATGACTTACCATATCATACAACTTGAATCCATTTTCCATAAGGCTGTTCTTTCCGGATTGCCGGTAATTGTTGAGTTGCATCTTCTGTGTTCAGAATCCGACATGTTTCTAAGTGTTCACCACGCGATCATCACTATCTCCTTCCGATTTCGCTCGTAGAATCCCAACCCGTAATCTTCACTCGTCTGTGCTGTCATTAATCAGAAAGATCACTGTTTTCTAGTGATTCTAATATTTCGGCATCAGTCAATTTTTTACTTACTTTCCTTTTCTTAGGCTGTGAAGGTCCTGCAATACTTGTACTGTCCGCCATTTTTAAAAATGGCACAAAAAAAAAATTAAACACAAAATTTAAAAACCATGCACCTGAAAACATAAAAATAATGCTTCACTAACGTGCCACAAAAACCTCATCGTTCAACCTCCAAAGCCGACACTAAAAACTAAAGCATATTACTTATCATAGTCCGATTGTCGCCCCAGAGCGTCACCGGCATGGGAGGTAGCGCCATGCTGACGCGCCAGCGCGTCAGTGGCAGCGAATGTGTTAAACTAGAAACAGTAATACAAATGGTATGTACATAGTTCATAATTATTATATTACTTATTTTTTAAATTGATATTTATGTTCATAAACTTCCCAGTTTCTGATAATAGTGCAAGCACTATTACATGAGTTCTTCTATTTCTCTTTAATTATGTTTAATAAATCATATTCTACAATTAGAAGTCATTTAGTCTAGGTACTGTTCCTGAGTGCTAAAAGACAGCAAAATATGGCAATTTTATGTAGCTTAAGAAAGGTACTTTTTTTTTCCTTTTTGTATTCCAAATGTATAAACAAATTTCTTGAATATGTAAATTTTATTTTACATATTCAAGAATTTATGTGGATATAATTTACATAAATTCATTGATATTCAGATACTAGTTGCTCTTCATCTTAGAGCATGGCAAGGCGGCTAAAAATCAACAAATCGTTGTCATCATCTGAAAGGTTCAAGAAGTTTAATTAAATTCGGATAATGTTATATGCTTTGGAATATGTGATTGGCTGACAAAGGTGTCATTTTTAATTTTCAGAAAGTAATGTTTTAATTTTTTGCAAGTAGAAGCAAAAAGAGCTTATTTAGGTATTTAGTTCTCTTTTTTTTGGTTTTCATAAATTCTAGTGAAATCCAATTTAATTAATTGTTGTAAAATTGTTTTTTAAAAGTTCTCGTGGTACAGAATTCCTCTTTACTAATTGCCTATCATTTAAAATTTTGACTGAAAATTTTAAAGCTAGGAAATTTGAATTTTGGGGTAAATAAAGTCATTAAAAAGTGTTACATGTAATTTTGACTGTCCAGTGTGTTGTTGATTTTGACTGTCCAGTATTCATGTTAATAAATTATGCTTTTAATTTTAGACTTCCTTTAAACTATATAAATTTTATATTTCTAGGATTTTTACTGGGTCTACTAGTTTAGATGGCTATGCAATAGTTGATTTTGTAAAAGCCTTATGCCAAGTCTCATTAGAAGAATTGGCAAGTCCAAACCATCCAAGAATATTCAGCTTACAGAAGATTGTTGAAATATCATACTATAATATGAACAGAATAAGATTGCAATGGTCTCGCATTTGGGAAATAATTGGAGAACATTTTAATAAAGTAAAAATTTTTTATATATGAATTCATTTTTCTGTTTCATGCAGTGAACTATCATTTTATTGTTTTTGTTAGTTAATGTCAGCTTTAATTGATCCAAAATTCTGGTATTTAGTATGGTGATGAGTGAGCTCAGTTCACAAAAAATATATTCAGTCTGCTGGAAAGTTTGCCCATTTTTATGATGACTATTTTTAACACATAAGCACATGTTTATTTGGCACACGTTCGGCGCTCTATTTTTATCACTTAATGTATATACAGTACACTCCCGATTATCCGCGGAATTGGGTGGCGCGGCAGCCGTGGATAACAAAAGTCACGGATAATCCGAAAAAAGCTAAAAACGGGTATAGCAAAAGAGAAAACAGTCATTCCAACTTTGAAAAATAATTTTATATACAATAAAACGTAAAATAAACAGAAAATGTTTAACTAACGCTTAATATTTTAGTATATCACTCAAAACTAACCTAAAATGCATTTTGTTAATGAAAACAAAAATGCTTTGTACTTACAAGAGGCATCAAGGATACACAGAAAAATTAATACATATATACTGTTTTAATACTGTAATGTAATTACAAAATTATGTAATTACAAAAGCGTAACTGTAAAACTACACCTTTTTAAAGAAATCGGTCATTGGTGTTTGCTACTTGATTTGGAAGCATTTTCTCTTGATCCGAGACTGCATTTTTCGTAGCATAAGTTTCTCGGCCAACTCCGCATCGTCTTGTTCTTCCAAATAGCTCAGCAGTCCGTCGAATTATTGCAAAGCCGCTTGGTGAGTCTTCTGCACCTGCACAGTGGGCTCTTCTTTGCCTTCACTTCGCTGTCCTTCATTTTCGGTTTCTCCCCTTGCTTTCTTCAGTTTCGTCATCTGTCAAGCATTCGAAGCCAGGTTCGTTGGCGTCACACTCCAACCACTCGTTAATGTTTTCAGCATTGTCGTTCTCACCACCCGGAACTGTTTTCACCATATCGGCAAGAGTTGCCGTGGGCGTGTCTACATCTTCATTCTCCTCTTCACAACTCAAAGGGGTTAGGTTGTTGTTGGCTTCAACATTGGGCATGAGTTTTCTCCATGATTTTATGAGGGTTGATGGTTTCACTGAGTCCCATGCAGATGCAATATCGTAGATGCTGTCCAAGGTTGTGTAGTGTTTCCAAAACTCTTTTAGATCATAAACTTCTTCAATTTTGGTCATTAGCAGCTTGGTTCGGTATGTTCTCTTCATTGCTGCAATGACTCCTTGATCCATGGGTTGGATTAGCGCAGTAACGTTTGGGGGGAGAAACTTTGCAAAAATTTGTTCATCAGAAGACTTTAGCACGCTTGTTGCTGAGTGAGAAGGTGCGTTGTCGATCAATAGTACAGCTTTTTCAAACAGGTTTTTCAATTTAAGATGTTTACGCACTTGAAGAACAAAGGTTTTTCGAACCATTCTTGAAAAATGTTTCGATTCATCCATCCTTTTTTTGGTTAAAGTAAACAACGGGCAAATTTTCTATCCTTGTGCCTTTGAAAGATCTCGGTTTTTTTTACTTTCCAATGAAAACAAGTCTAAGTTTATGTCTACTGGTAGCGTTACTGCAAGACATGATAGTGATCATTTCCTTGCTGCTTTTATGACCCGCCGCTTTACTTGCACTTTCAAATGCTAAAATGCATGTGGGAAGATATTTCCACAAAAGTCCCGATTCGTGGGCATTATAAATTTGTTCAAAAGGTAGCTTTTCTTTTAAAACAAATTCTTCAAATTCATGGTGGAAATCGTCGGCTGCATGTTGGTCACCACTAAGTTTCTCCCCATGAAGTCCAATTTCTCGAATTTCATGTCGCTGCTTAAAACGAGTCAACCAGCCAGAAGGCACATCAAAATTTCCTTTCAGGCCTAAAAACTCAAAAAAGTTTTTGCTTTCGCCGCAATGATAGGACCATTTACAGGAGTACCCTCTTTTCGAACTTGAGCTAAACACTCTGTCAATGCCGTGTCTAGCTCATCAATGGTAACCCTTCATAGTTTTTCACATTTTCATTGCAGAAGCACTGTCCGACATTGATGCAAAGTTCACCAGTTTGTCTTTTTGCTTTAGAATATCACGCACTGTTGTTTCCGCGATTCCGTAATCCAATTCCATCTGCTGCCTAGTAGCACCATTTGCTACTTTGGAAATTCATTGTAGTTTTTGCACAATCCTGAACACAATCTTCTTTCGTTTTCTTGACATTTTAAATCGGTAACGAAAAACACAAAACCAAAAAGCACAAGCACTGAACACAATAAAAGATAAGAAATTAACTCCGACCGGTTTGCAAACACTATCAGGCTTAAACTAACAATGGCGAGTGGGAGGCAGTGGATGTGTCAGTAAGATTAAGACGAGAGAGGGCGGTGGAGCGGGCACTGCAAGGGTGTGTAAAAAATCACTTACTCATCAGGGGGGAAGGTTCCGAGAAGGCCTGTGATATTTTTGCCATAAATAAGCACGATGTTAGCAAATTTAACGTTTTGCTCAGTTTTGTGAACATTTTTATTTTCTTTGCCTTACGCTTGTTAAAAAAAGAAAAAAACTTTGTGCGGCAGGCGCGGATAATCTACTGTATTCTGACATAGTAAATTAACTGAAACCAAATTGCTTCATGTTAGTCTTAAATGTGAATTGATAGCGTACTGCTGATGAAATTCATTTACGCCATTGTATTTTTTACGAATTTCAATAAGGAAGAAATGCTACAGAAGCATATAGAAATTTATTGAAAATGTTTGGTGAAGGTAGTTTGTGATAGGGCATGCAGAAAATGGTTCAAAAAATTTGAAACCGGTGATTTCGACCTTTCTAATAAGCCACCTGGGCTACCATCTTTGATTGATGATTATGTTGTTAAGACCGTGTTGGAGCAAGATCCTTTTCTGAGAGCATTGGAGATCGCAGAAAGGCTTAATTCAGCTCAGCAAACCATTTTGGACCATGTTCAGAAGATAGGATTAGTGTGGAAATATTCAAGATGGGTGCCACATGAATTAAGTGAGAAGAATTTGGATGATCGAGTCATCATATGCACATCTCTGCTTTGCTCGAAACAAAATCGAGCCCTTCTTGAACCAGATGATAACTGGGGATAAAAAGTGGATTACCTACAAAAACGTAGTAAGGAAAATGGCATATGGTGAACCTGGTAAACCTAGCCCCTCCACCTCTGAACCAAATTTGACACTGAATAGTGTTCGAGGACCAATATGTAATACATTATAAACTTTTAAAACCGAACAAAAAGCTCAATTTAGAGAAGTATTCTGAACAACTGGATAATTTAAAGACAGCAGTCCAAGAAAAGAAGCCGGCGATGTTCAATAGGAAAGACATCATACTGCATCATGATAATGCCAATCCGTATGCGGTTTTGGAGTCTCGTAAAAAAATTGCAGAACTAGGCTTGGAAATTATGTCTCATCCACCATATTCCCTGGACTTTACACCCTCCAAATATAACTTGTTTTTGTCCTTATAAAATTTTTCGAAGGGCGAAAAATTCAAAAATGAAGAAGATATCAAACATGCACTGTCTCAATTTTCGGCATCAAAAGATACATTTTTCAAAAATGGGACATACAAGTTGCCGTCATTCTGGCTACTTGTAATAATAATGTAATAATAACTTGTCATTAATAATATTGAAATTATATTATTTAGTATTAAGTTTATTGACGGTATGAAAAAATTGTATTTTGTTTTATTCCAAAAACGGACACAACTTTCCGGTAGACCAAATATATACTGGAAAGGACATAAATACCGTTAAGGTTGAGTTAATGATTTCTGCCTTAACCCTCTGAGCACCATGACCAGCTTTCTCTGGTCATGAGAATTTTTGTCCACTGGTACATGTTAGCTTATAATTTAAGATCTTTTGCTTTCTTACTTTCTTTACTAATGTAAATGTCATCTTAATAAATGTAAGTTTATGAAATTAGAGACTAAAATGAATAGTCATACAAATTTTGCTAATAGATGCTGTTTAAATACAGGTCTTCATGACAGATCCAAAAACCTGCATCACTCAGAGGGTTAAAGGACACAAACAAATATTACTCATAAGTGGTAGTCTTTCCCTCTGACTGCATCTCAGTTGTCTTTATTCCTTCTTGCATTGCAGATGAGTATAAATTGCAGAAACTTTTTTTTTTTTATTATTTAATACAGATGGTGTTATAGGTGCTGTATAACTCTGTGCATAATAAAGGAAATTTTAGTTATACAGTACAAAGTCCGAAATCCGGCCTCTTCGGGACTTCGGCGATTCCGGATTTGGTATTTTTCCGGTAGATCATCAGTTTAAATCTAGTAAGATGGCATGTAGAAGTTATAAAATTTAAAATATGAAATCATGATCTAAAAGGTAGCAAAATTTACAAAAGAAAAGCTAAATATTTATTTGTTTACCTTATTAAACATGTCTTTCAATGTCAGTTGCTTTGTTTTTTGTGCTAAAACTTTCTCTTTAATTTTGTAGACAGACATAATCTCTTGTTTAGTTACATTGTTGAGTCATTGTTGAGTCCTGTAACTGCTATTTTGAGAATTCTGATGAAGTTGTCATTCGAAATTTTCTCTTTTTTTCAGTAAATTCTCTGTCACTTTCTTCACCATCGGTAGCGGTATTTTCTGGATTAGGACCATACTATAAATTTCGCCATTCATTAATTGATTGATGATTGAGATCATAATGAAAAACTTCTTTTATATCATCTTCATTTATTACCTCTACATTTTCGTTAATTGGAAAATTTCACCTTTATTTTGTGATATCTGAAAACCTTAAAATTAGCGGCTATCATCATCAAATTTAGCTTTTCTTCACTATATATTTGGCTGTGCATCATGAGCTTAGCAACTAACGACAAGTTGTTCTGTTAAAGTTTATCTTGCTTCTATCGCTTGCTTTCATCTTGCCTATGAGACAATTAAGCCTGAATTGTATTTTAGTTTAGTTATTTATTATATTTATGTCTATTTCTTGCACATGCTTAAGGCTTATCAGAGTTCTCAATAAATAAATTCCCACCATATACTTAATCCTTATTGAGGGCCAGCGTTAGATATCTTACCGCCTGATGCAGTCTCTGTGGGTCCTAAATTTTGTGACTTGATGCGGCCATACGAGCCATGGAGCTGGTTCTGTGTTTATGTGAATAACAAATCAATTATTCTTAATTCAAATAGCCCTAAATGTAATCTTTGGGTCTATGAGTATCATTAACAAAATCTACTTTTAACATATGGAAAGAAATTTTTGGTAAATTTTCCCTTGTCAACATTTTTTAGTGCATTTAACTTAAAGCTGTAATCATCGCCAAGCGTAATGTCAATATAAAAGGTTACCATACTCTATTATTCATCTACTAATGTTTAAAAAAAATTGCTTAGGCAACACTACATGAGTCATTACTCAATTTGTCATCTTTAGATAAACATGTGGTGATGAAAGGAAAGTATAATAAATAATAATTCGCCAGGTTGGCGTCGGATCAACGATGTATCTATGTGGAATGTTTCGGTTTGAGATGTGTGCCAAGCAAATACGCAGCAATGGAGCCAAATAACTGATCATACAAATTTATGCTGAATTGATTGTTTCTTCAGTAACAAGGTATTTTATTTAGTGTCGAAGCGAAATTAAGAATCGGGACACTCCATATGTTTTATTATGTGTGGAAGGGGGAATCAAATGTGCATGTGTAAAGCCAACAAGAAAACATTGTTGGTGGTTTTGAAGTTCGGATTTTAGATCATTCCGGATAATGGACGTCCAGATTTCGGACTTTGTACAGTATATTACACATTACCAGGCTTCATTTTGTTGGTAACTTAGTTACTCAAAACCTGCCAGAAAGAAAAAAATATTGACAAACTTCAAGTACTGTTGAAATATTCTTGAGTTGATAAATGTCTGTTTCATTAGACTATTTTAACTTTTAACCTTGTAAATTATCTCTACTGAAATGAATCATTGTGGAACTAATAAAGTGAAAGAATTAAAGGTGACATTTATAATTTTTTAATTATCAATAATTTATAAAATTGTAAGTCTCAAAATATGGATGTGTCAAAACTTCATCGATTCTGTATTTTGTAAATTTCCAAATTTTAGATCATCAGGTTAAATCTGCTGAGATTGCATGTATAAATTGTAAAATTAAAAATACAGAATAGTTGCTTGTGAAGTAATGAAGCGTTTATGGAATAATTGAGGGAAATAAAATTTAACCTTATGAGAACCTTAAGGGAAGATAAAATTTACCAAAAAAAGTCTCAATATTAATTTTATTAAACATTTCAACATTTCTTCTAGTGTAAATTGTAAAGTTTTTTTTTGGGGGGGGAGGTTCCTGATATTTTTTCATTCTAATTTTATAGATAATTTCTTGTTCAGTTACAAAGTTCCATTGATGAACTCCTGTAATCGAGAATTCTCTCTAAATTCTCAGTAGAAATCTTTTCGTTCTCAACAATCTATTCATAACTTTCTTCTGAATGACTTTCATGTTGGTAGGGATATTTTATGAATTTAAATCCGTACTTTTACAATCCATGATGATGATCACTGATGATTGGTCTATTGCCATTGTAATAAAGAACTATTATCTTTATTTGTTATCTTTATTAGGTTTCTTCACCATCGAAAATTTCATCTTTTGCTTGTGGTGCCAAAAACCTTCAAATATGTGAATATCACCAATGATGATGGTAGCTGGCCATAAGTTATGCCAAGGATTTAAAAAATATCTAAATACATGTCCTGTCATGTCTTTTTCTTCATCTAGCAGATTTTATGTTAATTTTTTTTTAATTGAATGATCTTGCCATTGTTTAAAAAAAATTAGTATAAACTTTAAAATGGATACGCTATACATACACCCCAATACCCATTGGCTAAATGATGGAGGAAGGAATAAGACAGAGACATTATCTTATAGAAAAACTGGAAGTGAAAGATGAGCTGAACCATTGTCTATAATCTGGACAGTTTTTGCATCATTCAGTAAACAAACTGATTTCAAATGCTGTCCAGCCTCTGTTAGGAGCAAATTTTCAAATCAATCATTCATTATTCGTGTCATCCATACTCTTTTAGTTTAAAACATAAATGATGAGTAAAGTGTTTACTTTTTTAAATGCTCGATATTGTGTTCTTTTCCCATTTACTAAAAGTTTACATTTGAGGATTCCTGCAGAATTTGGACATGCCAAAATTGTTATTTTAATTGTTAGTTTTGCTTTGGAATCTTTGACCAGTTAGTTTGGGCTTTTCTGTGGAAGTTGTTGATGCGTTTGGGGGTTCTTGCAACATTTCCTTGTTCTAGGAAAAACCAATTTCATCACCATTGTAATTTGTTCTTGAATTAATTTGCTGTTATTGTGTTCAGTGAAGGCCTTATGGAGTATTGTGGTGAGCAGATGTCTCTCCTGCAAATAAATAAATGAATTCAATAAATTCATCTGCTTCATTATCAGCTGAAGCTTTTTTTTTTTTTTTTTTTGCCTGAAATTGTTAACTGCATCTTACTATAACGAATTTTTAATTTGGTTAACCAGCTTGTCAAATATGTGCACTCGTAGTCATTTCCTCATGAAATATTTTGTTTGAACCATTGAACCCATCAGTGATACACTGTTACTGTGATCCAGTCTCATTTATTCAATCATTGCTTTGTTATGATCTTCACTTTTAGCACCACGGATGATTTTTCTGTTGTTCTTTGCAAGTGGGATGTCAAAGTCTGTGAAAATTCAAAACATTTGCTGAAGTTCCTCTGAATAATCTAATTCTTTTACCCCTGCTATGCTATCAAAAGAAAACAGTGTGAGCAATATCTGTTTCTGAAAAATATGTCTTAGGCCTTAACATGCTGTTTAAACCATAGAAAAATTTTAACTGTCCAAGGGCTGAAAATGGTTCTGACCCAAGACCTATAGAAATCTTCCATAATCTTAGTCATGACCAGCGTCAATACAGTGTTAACCAATGTATTGCCGTTGCCCAGAGTACGAGTCCCTAAACGCTAGGTGTTTGAAACTCGTGCTGGCATCTCAGTTAGTCAAGAGAAAAATTGCTTTTATGGTACACCTTCTTTTCTTGAGTATTGCAGTCTTCATTTCTAGACTTTGTAAGGGGGAGGTTCCTAAAAAAAAATAAAGAAAAAGAAAAACCTAGTCAAGGCCCGAATATTAAATTAGACTTTACACTCTGAATGCTGCATATTAAAAATCCATTTTAAGGGAATTAAATTTCTGTTAAAAATATAAGCTTCCCTTTCACAAGAATTACCACCCAACATTCTGAAATGTCGCTGAAAATTAGTGCATTTAGAAAAGCAGCTGTAGGAAAAAATTTTCAAACTGCTCTGCTTCAATTTATTGTGCTTATTAGGAAAGCCATGAATGCTAATTTTGGTAAGCTTCGACCTATAAATGATAATCCATGATATTATGCATGTGGGTTACATATACACACACATACACACAGAGGGTGTTTACACATTGTTGTAACGATTATGATTTTTTCCACAAATTTAAATATTAATTTTAAAATACAAACGTGACTGGCATCAAATTGGAATGAGTTTTAATTATTGTTTGTAGCATTAAAAATATTCTTTTATTTAAAATGTCGCTGAAAAAAAAAAGGGATCGAAAGCTGTATTTTTGTGCTTTTCAAAGAGTACCGTTATTCAGTTATTTAAGAAAGATGTGAAAAGCATTGTTTTAATATTCCTACACATAAAATGAATGGCGTAATTAATATGAAAGGAAAGAAATGTCAAAGTTTACATCTGATTGGGGAAAAGGAAAAAAACGCATCTCCGACAAGGGTGCGTGCAGCTGTTATTAAATCTCGAATCACATGTCATGTTCGGAAAATCCACCCCCCCCTTCCAAAGATCTATTGCAAAATCTTTAAATATCTCTGTAGAAACTGTGAACAAAGCTATAAAATCTGATTTAAAACTAAAACAAAATTATGTTCATCGCCTAACACTGAAACATGTTTCTCAGCATAAGAGTGTGTGCAGATTGCAGTATGAAAATTGCTTTGACATGATTGCAATAGAAAAAGATCGATTTACTACTGAAAAAGAGGAGAAAAAGACATTGTGTTATTTCAGAGAAAACAGGGAAAGTTTATCTAAAGGTTTTATGGTTATTACTGGATTCTCGTATAATGGAAAACTTAAAATTAGGAAACTTGAAAAAAATGTCAAAATTAATTCGGATTACTATCAGAAATATGTTTTAACACCTATGTTTAAAGAAGAAATTCCATCTGTTTAACCAAGTAATCTTCAGAAGCCAATCCTGATGGAACTTAACACAGAAAACCAAGTAATCTTTTATCAGTGTTCAAGTTCCATCAGGATATGGCTTCAAGCCATACCTCCAAATCTACTGCTCTATTTTTTAAAAAATTATAAATGAAACAAAAATTGAAGCTATTCACTTTAAATGCATCCCAGCAAGTCCTCCGATGTCTCATTTATGGATTACTGTGCATTTGGACTTTTAAAACAGGGTCTTTATAGGCGGCATCCCAAAACATTGGATGGACTCTGGAAGATTGTGAAGGAGGAGTGAAATAAAGTCAATCTCGATCTTTTAAGAAAAGGACTTTTATCTTGGAAATCAAGATATAATATGATAGTTTAACAAAAGAGCTATCAGATTGAATGCATTAGAAAATAAAATTCTAAGGTTTGTTTATATATAAATCTTTGCAAAATCATTACAAAATGTTGTGAATGCCCTCTGTATTTATATTGGTATTTCCATCTGCCCCATTAGTTTGACATTGTATTAATATTTTTTATTAGGTAGGTTGCAGTCCAATTGAAGATATTTCATTTTTTGCTGTGGACTCTTTAAGGCAGTTGTCAATGAAGTTCATCGAAAAAGGTGAATTCGCAAATTATAGATTTCAAAAAGATTTCCTGCGGCCTTTCGAATATGTCATGAAAAATAACAGGTTAGAATACTTTTCTTAAGAAAATGCTTTCAGTATAACTACTTTAACCAAAATTTTGTTAATCCATTATATACTCACAATTGTTAATTTTTTCTTTATTGTCTTTTGTTAATTTGTTCATATGTGATTTCCCAGAGTGAAGCTGAATAGTTTTTGTTTCTGTATGAACTCCAATGTGACTAATTACGCCGTTTGTCCCACTGGTCCAAAAACGTCTGCATTACCTAGGAAAATTATTTGAGTATAATCACATTTGACATGAGTAATGAGGAGGCACTTGAGGGAGTAATTAAATTGGGATAATAAGCAATTCAGTTATTGAGAAATCTACGTAGTAGAATTTCAATAAATTACAAACTATGGAGTTGTGCAGATTAAAGAATTATGATGATTATAGGTACATATATCTGGGTTTTTTTTATGGTTCTTTCATTTTAATTTTTGCATGAAATTTCACTTTTTAACTATTGAAACATAAAATGAGAATTACTTATTCAGGATTTACAAAACTTTTTATTACAGTTATGCTCTAAGAAAATATCACGAGAACAAGTAATAGTACAGAGTTGCCAACTCTCCTGATCTAGGCGGGAGACTCCCAATTTTTGACCACTCTCCCGCCAACCCGATTTACAATATATTTCTCCCGACTTTTTTTTATTCTTAAAATTTCTCGCTATTTTTATGCAACTTGGCATAATACTTTGTTATATGAATAAACAAAAGTGCTTTTGGACGTCTGAAAGCAAATGAATTTTCTCTACATTATATCTAAAACAAAACCTTGCGAATCAGATAACTTCTGCTTTGTGAGTGAGAGCATTATACGTATCCAGAAACGTTGTTCACCAGTTCTCCAATGGGCATCGAGCTCCACTGCATGTCAGCTGGCATATATTAGCCAGTGAGGACAAAGCAAGTTGTTATTTGGATGTTTTTTAGTTAATTCGTTCATTTTGTCCTGAGTTGTGTGAGTACACGTGCCTTAGGGAAATAGTTTTAGAAATTATCATCTTTTGTTACGTCTGCGAGAAAGGTGAAATACTCGTGTGCGTTTCAAAAATCGTACACAGTTAACTTTCCTTCCATTATTTCCTCAAGGAAATGTAATAAATTTGCGATGTGTACTGCCTGTCGTTGCGATTTTTCGATTTCGCATAGTGGAAGGGTGGATGTTCTCAAACGTGCGTACACAAAAACACAAGGATAACATGAGTTGTTTTTAAAAAAACGAAAAATTAAACTTTTCTTTGAAAACAAAGGACCAAAAAGTTATTAATGCAGAATGTCTGTTCTCTGCCTTTTTACTGGAGCACAACCTGCCACTGAATGCATCGTATCACGCTGAAGCTTTATTTAGAAAAATGTTTCCCGATAGTGAAATCGCTAAGAAATACTCAAGTGCAAGAATCAAAACAGAAATGGGTTTGAAAAATAAATCTTCAGTTATTGATTGCATTAAAACAGCTCCGTTCTGCCTCTCTATGGATGGAAGCAATAATACTGATTCAAAACTGTATCCAATTGTTGTTTCTTTTTTTAATCCAGAGTCTGCAGAAATTGAGTGCAGTTTACTTTCTGTTCCCCCTTTAAAAGGACATTTGACAGGCTTTAATATAGCACAGCTAATTATTAAAACTTTAAAAGAAAATGCAGGCCCTCTGCACTTGGTGCCAATAATGCACCAGTATTGGTAGGCTTGGAAGACTGGTATTTGCAGGCATCTTAAGAAAGGAAAATTCAGATTTGCAGATTATGAGGTGCACCTGTCACCTCTTAAATTTAGCAGCTGAAAAAGGGGCAGCTTCTTTACCAATAAATGTGTATGAACACATTATTGATATTTATTATTATATTGAAAGGAGTTCTAAAAGGAAGGGAAAATTGAAACAGTTCCAACAGCTGCATAACAGCAGTTTACAATTAGAAAACTTGGATGAAGTTATAAAATCAGCTAGGATTGACACCCAGTGGAGTTTAATTGGAAAACTGAAAGGTGCTGATGGAATTTTAAAATATAGTGAACTGTCTAGAAATGTGTTGGCCATCTTGACAGTTCCCCATAGTAATGCAGAGTGTGAGAGGATTCTCAGTGTTATTGTGAAAACGAGGACTAAATTTAGATCTAATATTAGTGATGACACATTAGAAAAACTTTTATTAACGAAAGCAAGCCTACGTGGCAATTGCTGTGAACAAAATTATGAAGTTTCTTTCTTAACCCTTTTGAGCCGGGTAGCGAAAACGCGCGCTTATCGCGGAGGCCGGCAGTTTCTTCCGCGAGCGTCTCTCCAGGGCCGGGGGCTTTTTTGCTACTAAGCCTAAATCCATGAAATCTCCGAAGTATCAACGCATTGTTTAATAATGCTCTATAGAGTATTTAAACGGCTTATGCTTTATAGGATATTTTATATATATATACTTTAATTACCTTATTTCTTGTTTAAATGCATATTTTACACATTTTATTTTAATTAACTCACCATTTTATGACTTTTAACATTATACATCTGAAACTAAATATATTACTTAAAATTCTCTTTTCGTATGAAAAAGTTTAAAACAGGGATCTACACACAGTCCTACATTACATTCCTTGCACTCGTAATAACTCATTTGCCGTTTTGGAGGATTTTTCCGGGAATGTGAACAAACGAAGCATCGTCGTCTCGTTTTCTTATCAGTCTCTTCTGAACAAAGTTTTGGAAAATGTCTTTCAGTTAATCTTTCAGAATCAATATCAGAATTTCAGAATCAATATCTGAAATATTTTGCATCATTTCTGCTATTTCATGCTCTGTTAAACATTTTCGACGCTTCGACATTGCAATGGTAAAAACAGAAAGAATTCACGTCTAACAAGATCTAATTATTTTCTAAAAACTGAACTGTAAACCGAATACTCAAAGCTTTAGCGCATATAAAACTTCTATTTTCAATAAAACAACTACCACGTGCGAATAAAGTGCGATTTAAAGAGACGTCATAAATCACGCCATTCGGAAACATTTAGTTCCCCGTTTGTTTATATAATCAAAAGCACGTGTATGTGAGTCATGCTTCTCTCATTTCAAGTAGAAGGTCTAATGTACATGTATCTGAAACCATATGGACATACAGTGCCATCTTGTGGCAGAAATTATAGTTTGAAAAACGTTCCAAGGTACTGGCACAAATATGTGACACTCGGTAGAAAACGCAACAATGCTCTGGCACGCCTGCGTGTCGGCCGGTAGATAAGTGTGTTCGTTGCTGGCACATATACGTGACAGTCGGCGCGAAGGGGTTAAAGAAAGCAAAATCTGCCACTGTTTATAACATTTGTATGAAAACTGATTATTTTTTTTCCTTAAGCGATGCAAGTAATAATGTTTTTTATGTGTAAGGTATTTTATGTTGCTTGCATTTAAGAATTAAAAGTTACTATTTAAAGTTAATTCGTTATTAAAAACTACATTTTTATCATTTAAAGTCTTTTTAACACTGAAAAATCTCCTGATTTTTGAGTGTCATAGGTTGGCAAGTATGAAAATATAGTAGAAAGGGGGGGAATTCTTAGTGTGAGGGAGGGAGCTAGGGGAAAATTTTAACCCGTTCACGACGAGCATCTCTGTTACTGAAGTGTAGTCTTGGGACGGGCAGTTCACACTGCTAAGGAAATTCGCATAATTTAAATTTTTCATCCAATTGTTCCAATTTATGGTACATTATGAGAAGAATATTCAGGTAGTTGTCAGAATTAATTTTAAAGCTTTGTTATTATATTTTCCTTATAAATTTTATAAAATTCTCATACTAGAATAATATAATTTTCCCCTTCTCCCAGAAATAAATATATATGTAAAAGTATCCAAACAATCGCAGATTTTATTTAACACAACACACAATTAAAATTTTAAAATATTAGAACTGCTTTTCATAAAAATTCAACGAGCAAACAACGAAAAGTAAGCAATGTTTCAAAATGAGACAGTGTATGATATTCTTTGAAACATGAATGTATGCAAAGTCCAACGTTGCATATGTCACAGAAATATAGTATCTGCTGCTATTTTACTCAGCAAATTTGACTCATTTATCATTTATATATGTTCTACAGTCAGAGAGTGCTTTTGTTTTGCCATTTAAAAAAAAAAAAAAAAAAAAAAAAAAAAACTTTTGCTAATTGATACAAAATATTCATCTCAATGCTGGAAAACTCAAAGAGTAATAAAAAAGTCTCTAATGATAGAACAGCTACTCCACTATAACGGGATTAAAAAATAAAATAAAAATAAGAAAAATTAATAAATTAAATTAAAAATATTCTAGAGCATTAAGAACATGTTCATTTGTTTATATAAAATGATACAGTAAGAGCCATTACATCACTCAACACTAACGAATGAGCATTTGTGTGTATTCTACCTTTAGATACTGCTTTCGTTTGCCATTAAAAAAAATATGTTTCGCTGTCGATAAAAAATATTCATCTCAAAGCCGGAAAAAATCTAAGAGTAATAAAAAAAAATCTCTCTAAGAATATCTATCCCACTGTATCGCGAAAATAAAAATAAAAAGTACCTCGATGCAACGAGAACACTTGCATTTGTTTATATCAAATGACACAGTTAAAGAGACATTACATTGCTCAGTACCCACCCACGAATCTCACTCTCATTCCGAAACAAAATACCAAAAAAAACATTGCGTAGGTAAATGCGTACATGAAGGTTACTTAAGTTACTACATACTTAAGTTTCAATACATTTCACCATAACAGACATACAGCTACATCTAGTGGCAATAAAAAATGCTAATTAAATGTTCTATCTAAAAAGTCAAATGCGGTACGCCCGGCCATAGAGTGAACTAAATGTTGATTCAAATATGACACACCCGGCCATGATATAACGTTTGCTGCTGATGCATATATGACATGCCTGTACTGAACAAGTTAAAAGAATGGATCAGAATATTTTATTTATATAAAAAAAATCGATGTATCTATCAGCAAAATT